GTTACCATATTGGTCTTTGATCCATTTAAGATTAGGGCATTATTTAAACAGTAATGAGTCATACTTTTTACAAGACAGTTTGCTTTGTGTACTACATGAAAAAAATGATTGGAATTTAGTGCAATTGTGGTATCGTCAGCAAATTGAGTGACGTAATAGCCTGATTGCTGTTCCAAGTTTTCTCCTTGAACGCTTATTGCATCAGAAAAATTATTTAATGGATTCCGAACCAAACATGTTGAGCTATCGTTTATTAGTTGATTTAAATCATTGACGAAAATCTATAAAATTTATTTTCAATAGGTACCCATTTATTACTTACAACATGAACAGATCTCAACAAAATATATTTACATTAAAGTGTAGACTGTTTCTTAGTTTATTTCCCATCACCCTTACAGTTTACAGTGGTTAGTTTCTTTCCTGGATAATTCTTTCATCTTTTTTTGAAGGATTCTTTTCTATTCCATGCATGTTTTTATGGTCAAGGTCTTATTTTTTTTGTATTCCTTGTTCTGTAAAGGGGAGATTTTAGAAATGTTAATCACAATGTGCGGCAGGTGCTCTAAGTATTCGTCAGTTGTATTATTATTATTGATAGATGTAAATACATTTGCGAAATTGTTCGGAATATATTTGAGCTGTTTCTTTATCACTTTTTGCCCATTGGTAATTATAATAATTTCATTTTGAATAGAAGATATCTATATTTTAGCAAGCGTTATGTCCGTTACCTCTTGTAACTATAATCAAAATCGATTAAGCATTCTTCTTAAACTTCTTAAAGTGGATGAACTATTAAACTTCGACACTATCCCCTAGAGATTCCATTTTTACAGCCTAAACTGATGTCGCTAAGGAATAAGCTGTTCGTTTTGACAAAAGTTTTCGATAGTTCGAACTCCAGATTGCCCTTGCAAGGTTTCGTTAAATATTATTTCCAAGTACAACGTTGGCTGACACCTCTTTAAATGAAAATGTTGTCGGTTTCTTTGCGGTCTACCAGAATAGAAGCTTTTTGATTCCAATATAGATGCAAAAGATTCAGATCTCTATAATCTGTTCCAATCATTTCTAGATACTCAAACAGCATATCATGATGGACCCTATTAAACACCATTTCAAAATCTATAAAGTAAACTTAAATTGGTTTATGTACTTTCTATTATCTTTATAGTAATGTTAGAATTGATAACAAAGCTTCCTTTGTTCCCAATACTTATGTGAAACCTAATTGTTTGTTTCCCATTGTTTTTTTTTTACATTTCTACTTGATTCTATTAAGAATTATTTTTAGAAGCAGTTTGAGAGAGTAGTTCATAAGACTAATCAGAAGTCTTTACATGATGATGTATCAGATTTTTTGGGAGATGGATAAATGTAAACGCCAACCATATTTGTGGCATTATTCCAGTTTCGCGTATGTAGTTACAAATGTTTGTTAATTCTGAGACGTTTGATCTCAGATAATGGTACGTATTTCTGATTATAAAATTATAAGCTACAAATATTACGTTGTTGTTTTTGAACAGAAAATTTTCATTTCGATCTAAACTGCGACAAAAGTTACGTAATTAATAAATGCATTAAATTAAATTAATAATAAAAGTAGTTAATAAATTAAGAAAAAACGGAAAATGGCTGTTTTAAGTAGTCTATTTCTAATTTTTACGTAGGTATATGCAGACATTTCATAATTTGTCCATTTTTTGTATGTAGATATACCAAAAGTCTACGTCATGTTGATTGTAATTCTCATCTCACACTTGTTAAAATATAACAAATAGGTAAGGTTTTAGGAATTGTAAAAGACCAAAAAACTAATAAAAGAGACATATTTCAAAAAGTATATTTTAAGACATTGTAAAAAATATTTTTTGCCGCAGGTGGTATGTAACGTTGTTGTGAATGAAAGGAACCCTTTTAAAAATGTAGATTATCAATGAAATTGATACATTTTTATTATTTTATTATTGTACCTAGCATTTATCTAGGTTGTAATATGTGAAATAATTTAAAACTACAATAAAATTGTATGGTACTTAGCTTTTTGTTTGATTACATCCTTTCCTTTTTTGTTTTTATAGTCCTAATGAATGGCGGATCTACCATTCACCTTCTTCTTCTTCTAGTTCCATGACCGTTATCGATCGTTGGATATCATGTTGGCTACCATATTCGCTATCGTGACTTTATTGACAGCAGCTCTAAATAACGATGTAGTTGATTTTCCATACCATTGCCTTAGATTTTTCAGCCATGATGTTCTTCTTCTACCAGGACCACGATTACCTTGGATCTTTCCCTGAATGATCAGATGTAAAAGATCATATTTTTCAGGGTGTCTCATAATATGACCGAAGTATTCCAGCTTGCGTTTCTTTATTATATTGACCAGTTGTGTTGTTTGGTTCAGCCGTCTAAGGACCTCCTCATTTCTAACTCTGTCGACCCAGCTTATTTTCAGTAGTCGTCTGTATACCCACATCTCAAAGGCTGTCAAGCGTTTACGCATAGCCTCAGTTAGGGTCCACGCTTCTACTCCATATAGCAGGACAGGAAAGATGTAGCAAGATATCATACGAACTCTAAGGTCAATGCTAAGATCATGATTGCAAAGTACGTTTCTCATTTTTACAAAGGCAGCTCGGGCTTGTTCTATTCGGCTTTTAATTTCTGCGGTTGGATCCCAGCTCTCATTGATATTACTGCCGAGATACACGAGTTTCTCTACTCTGTCCAGTGTGGCATCTCCGACTTTTATACCGTCATCATGTATATAATTTTGTTTGCTAACTATCATATATTTAGTTTTCTTAACGTTGAGTTTTAATCCATACTGATCACAAGTCTGTTTTATTTTGTTCATTAGATTTTGAAGGTCTTCTCCGCAATTGGCAAGGACTAAGGTATCGTCGGCATATCTAATATTGTTGACGGTTACTCCATTCACAATAATACCTTCGGTTGTCTCCATTAAGGCTTCCTTAAATATTTCCTCCGAATATAAGTTAAAAAGTAAAGGCGACAATATACAGCCTTGTCTCACTCCTCTTTTTATATTTATTTCATCCGACAGTTCTTGTTCAACCTTTATTCTTGCCACTTGATGCCAGTATAGATTTGTAATTATTCGTAGATCTTTATCGTCCAATCCAGCTGTTTCCAATATTTCTAGCATTTTGTTATGTTGGACTTTGTCAAAAGCTTTTTCAAAATCGATTGCACAAATATACACATTTTGATTTATATCTCTGCATCTCTGTACTAGCACCTGTATACTAAACAAGGCTTCTCTTGTACCCAAGCCACTCCTAAACCCAAATTGAGTATTGCTAATTCTGTCCTCTAACAGCGTATAAATTCTGCTGTGTATTACTCGCAGAAAGATTTTCAAAACGTGACTCATCAGACTTATTGTCCGATAATCACCGCATGTCTTTGGACGATGTTTCTTAGGTATTGTGACAAATGTCGACTTTAACCAATCAGTTGGTTAAAATTGGTTACCATTCACCACCCAAATAAAATTACTTAAAAAAGCATACAATAAAACTATTAGAAGTAGTATATGGGATTATTAAGCCACAATTGATTATAATTAAAATTACATTTTTAACTAAATAAAGCCATAATTATTGAAATGCCAATGTAAGAAGAAATGTGTACCAGTATAGCAAACTATAAAATGTACTCAAATGTAACAAAAAATAGAAGCTACGAATGTAATGGAATGGAGAAATTTCCGACCGTCAATTTTGCATGTCAGTTACGCGCGCGAAATCAATGTTCAATAAAATTTGTATCAGCGGGACGGTAAAAATTCGATATCTTTTGATCCAAATGTCCTATCGACAAAAATCAAGATGATTTTTAAAGGCAAAGAGTGCAGCTTTCGTATGCAGTTTTTGTATTTTGCCGAGAATAAACTTAGTTTTTATGAAGGTGTTAAATAAATTAACGTGGCGCGATTTTTGCCATTTTTTATGATTTTTGTGAGATCAATGAAATTAATCACTTTCATTGACCAGTTTTAGTAAAATTTCCATTTTTAGAGATCAATCTTTAAAACCTATGACATGAAATTTCAATTTTAAGTTGTCGTAACAAATATGAGGCGTTTGAAATATGAATAAAAACGCAGAATTTAATGTTTTACATTACAAACGATCACACGTCACGGGAAATGCATTTAAGATGACTGTTTTGGGTGTAGTTTATTGCAGAAGTTTTGTTCTTTGGAAAAACGTACTAGTATAATTGAAAAAAGTTTTAAATGTTTTAGATCGTTTGTTGTATGAAAGTGAAAATCCAGCGTTTTTTAAGCAAAACTAAAATTTCATGCAAAATCGTCGGTCGCTTCAAGCGTTGTTTCTAAGAGAACGGTTCATTCTACCCAAAAAATGCTTATAAACATTTTTGTTCAAAATTATCTTAACTACATTTTTTATTTGAAACATTTTTTTTCTACGGTGTACAAATTCTTGGTAAATCGATTTTTTGTGTCGTTTTTACTCCCCTTCCAGGGGGATTTTAGAAGGAAGCCCGGGGGTAAAAGTGAAACAGTTTTGCATCTTTTTTGGGGTCACAAAATTAATATTCTCGTCAAAATTCAGCTTGTTCGTATAATTTTTAGAGGTTCAGTGGCTTTTTTGTTTCTGACGACTGGAGTCCTAGTTCATTTTCCAATCAAAAAGTTCAAATGGATGTGTAGGCCGCAAAATCCATAGAGGTCTGTTTACGACGCTCAGACATTCCTAGACAGGTACCACTGCACTGGCTTGGGCGACAAATATATTTTGAGTTAAATACGCAGCGGTCCCTAGGGACCTCTACAAAGTATGGGGTAGTTGTATGGCAGTCCCTAGGGGCTTAACGCGTTAACCAATTTATTTCATTACTTACAGTATATAAAACAAAGACGGCAACAGAGCCAGAACCAATATTCTCGATTATGACTATGCTGTCATAAGTGTCATAACTCACATGTCATGTCATGATGTCATTGTAATAAATTTGTTTATTTTTATGAAGTGTAGTCGAAAAGTGCAATGTTTGTTTTTAAAATATAATCAGTAATTTTAGGAATATCTGAATAGTCAATAAATGATTGCCGAAATTAAACAATGCAACGGAAGTCAAGGTCGAAGTGAGGTTATAAAATAGGACCTCCGTCTAGTAGTATTTAAAATGGTTGTGTTAAATGGAGACTCAAGTAGAGATATTTGCAGTTGGTTAGTTCACGTAAAGCTTTCTCGAATAGTTATAATTCTCCTATCTATTCTTATTCTAACTCCTCTAATTACACATTTTTACCTTTCCAAAGTTGAAAGGAATTCATATTACATAGAACATAATGCACATTCTCATGAAGATCTACCAGAAGATATTTACACATTTAAAGAAGATGATCTTAAAGTAGGCGTCGAAGAATTACTTAGAATAAGGGGATCTGTTTTAAGCGAATTGAGAGATATTGAAAGAAAAAGACAGCAATATAAGACAGAAATTCAAACTTATGTTAAAAATATAGAAGAATTAAAACAAGAATTAGCCCATCAACAAACAAATTTAAATAGGTAGGTATTATATACCATTAATAATTAGTAGAAATTATCTATATATCATTTGAATCCCTGAGTTTTTGCTAGATTTTTTTTATTCTTTATCTTTTGTTTTTCTTTCATAAGATTGATACTTGAGTTTTTGCTTTATATATGCTGTGTATGTGTTTATTACCAAATTAACTGTTTCATCTTTACTAAGTGTTTAACCCCATACACTTTCCCTTCATGTAATATTTATTTCTCTTTATATTTTTGATTTCTATTGCTGCTATGCATAATATTTATTTAGTTATATAAATAATGGACGATTTTCACATTTGGTCCCATTGAAGATAGCTTCAAATGGGTTTGACAGAATGAAATATTGGTGTTTCGCAGTGTTGAAATTTATGTTACAAATGAAACATACGCAATTAAAAGCAATAAGATATTTAAAAACTAATATTTAACGATTATGAAAAAAAAGAAAAAGTAAATAGTTTTAAAACAGTTTTAACAGTAAATAGTAAAATGTCAGTATAAATAATAAAATTTAAAAGGCATCTGTTGCAATCTAGCAGCTGGTGGTTTGAGGGTTCTAACTATTGCCAAATCTATCCGCTATCCTACCAAAGGGCAATTGTCAAAAAAATTTTCTAATAATTTATTACAACTAATTAAACGAAACAAATATTACTTCATTAATATTTTATATAAGGTATAAAATTGCAGAATCTGTAAATGAAGCATATAACATCTACATTATAAGAACATGGCAACACTGGCAACGCAATATTTCGTTCTGTGAAACTTAATTGACAGCTAATTTAAGGCTATCTTCAATGGGACCAAATGTGAAAATCGTCCTAAATAATATCAGTACATATAATTACAAAAAGAAGTGGCACAATCAACAGTTCAGTGTTAAAAAAAGTAAAGTTCGTGTAACCTTCTTTCTAAGATCTACTTAGTGTTAGGATTTTCAGGTCACTCAAGCACCCCTAACATGACTTAACAATTATGTAGCCGGAACTGACTGCTTTACATTTCTTCTGAAGCATGGTGCATCTCAGTTGAATTAGAAATTGAACATTTTGTCAGTGTCAGGATTTGACTGGGCCCTCCAACTTGTTAAGCCAGTAACATAGCCACTGAGCTACTACTGCCATTAATATTCAGTTTTAATTGATTTTTAATAAATTGTGGAATATACTTAGAATAATACTTTTGACTATAGTCATAGGAAGAATTGTAGTTTTGTATTTGTAAAATTTGTATCAATTCGATGGTAAAAATTCGATATCTTTTGATTTTTTAGATTAAAAATATCAGTAGAACAGGCACAAGTTGCACAAAGGGAAGCTCTACAACAGAACACTCCAGACCTTGCATTGCCCAAGAAATTAACAGCTGATGTACTGCCAGAGGTTTTACCACCTGTTTCAAGATATGTATCAAAAAGATGCAGAATGTTCAGTTGTTTTGACCACTCAAGATGTTCCTTAACATCAGGATTTCCAGTGTACCTGTATGATCCTGACCAATTTCCAGTGATGCATGATGGTTGGGATGTAGATGGATTTTTAAAAACCACTCTTAAACAAACCCTTGGATACAACCCTCATTTGACAAATGATCCTAAACAGGCTTGTATATTTTTAGTTTTAGTTGGAGAAGCTTTAAAAGACACTGATGATGTCAGTGAGAATGTTAACAATCATTTAAATTTGCCGCCATTGGATTCTGATGCTTTAAAAAGATTACCATACTGGGGAGGGGATGGAAGAAATCATATTTTGTTAAATTTAGCAAGAAGAGATCTCATGTCTGTTTCTGGAGATGTTTTTTCTGGTGTGGATACAGGTAACAAAATTTTTTCCATAATAATTTTTAGAAATGTTTATTTAAATTATATATTCAAACAATTATACATATAATAATATACTGTGTGATACATCTAGAAGTGGAAGTGGTGAAAGACTTGTAAAACATAAATTAAAATGTGAATAAAAACAGGGAATTCTAACCTGTCTGTCAAACTAATACCATTGGTAAAGATAACATCAAAAAATTATATGTAAGTAATTTAAAAAATCAAAAATACCTATTCTGAACAATTCAGCACAAACCAAAGAATGAGACAGTGTTACCAACTGTTTTCTCAAATAGTAATATGGGATATTTGAAAAACTGTAATTATTGTTGTTTATAGAAATTTATTTACATATGTACAGTGTTTTAAATCATAATATTAGACTGTTTAGCAATTTACCATTTTTTAGGCCGTGCAATTCTAGTACAATCAACTTTTACCTATGACCTGTATCGCCCTGGGTTTGATCTCATTATATCACCAGTTTTGGGACCCCCTGGAGGGGATGTATGGCAAGAATGCAATCCAATGTTACCTGCTCGCCGAGATTACCTACTCACCTTCCAAGGAGAGATAAAGAAACAGAAGTCTCCCTCACCTCGACCAAGTTTTGACGATTCTGAGGATAGTAACATGGAACTAAATAGGTATGAATACATCAAACACTTTGTTCTTGCTCTTGCCTCTTGCTTCAATTAAACATTTAATGAATGTAATTTCAATTATAAACACAAATTTCCATAGAGCATCATTGACCTGACATGTTGCACTGGGATATCAGCTTCCTCCTAATAGAAATTTTAAATTAACTACATTTTTTTACTATTTCTAGGTTTATACTGGATCATCTAGTGCAGCTATCTAAAACTACAACATCTGACAAATTTTTGTTTGAATTCGAATGTAATCCTGCCAGTGATAATAACTTAAATGTTGCCAATCAAGATTGGGCGCTTTGTGGAACTGACAGTAGCAGACGGGCGGTCTTGAAAGATTCTACTTTTGTTTTAATATTTGCCCCAGGACAAGAAGATTTGATCTCGACCACTCTTCTTCAAGCCAGAATTTATGAAGCCCTTAGATCAGGTAATACGAAAATTAAATATATTTTTATATATTATCAATCTTTGTTCAGTTCAGGAGAAATATATAAGTAGATACATGTTTTATATAATTATGTATTATATTCGTGCGTGACAATGCATAGATAGGTAAAACTATGACAGCACAAGTAAATAGCGGGTTAAATATGGAAGCATTGGACGGGCGTCTTTTTGGTATAATTTGTATATAGAAATTGTTGAAAATAGTTCACACCACAAAGTTAAGATCATGTCATATCTAAGGAATGTGAAATAAGCCTTCACATGCCTTAGATATGACAGTAATCAATCCATGGCTGGAATATAAGAGAACTGCTGAAACTCTTAGCTTATCCATTAAACATGTCCTAGATCTGATAGATTAGGATACTTTTGACAAAACTTGGCTGACATCCTTATATGATGCAACAAATTCACTGCGAATAAACAAGGAAGACCAACAATATTTTCGGTTTCAGTAGGTCTATTTTTTGATCTGATAAATGATCTTTGAGTGTGGTACTTCTATATATTGCTGTTCTATTTATCCCATCTCTAACACATACCATGAGGAGCTCAAGTGTTGCCACACTTCTATCTACTCATTTTATCAAAACGGCACCAACATTTTGACACATGACATTTTCCATAAAGTCTTTTTGGGTGGCTAGTGTATAAAACAGATTTTTTCGAGTTTGTTCCAGTTCCATATATTTGTTTTTTGGATAGCCAGTAAGAACTGAAGTAATCAGCAAAGAAAAGTTTACGCAATGGTATCTGTTCTGGTAACTGTATAACAACAGCAAGTCATTGACCAAATGTGTATTCATTTTTCAATTGTTTGGAAGCTCCCTGATAAATTATAAAATCATAAATAGTTCCAGACAATCCACACAATACAATCAATTTTACTTCACACTTTGTTGATTTGTTCTTGATATATTGCTTAATTTTTAGAGATCCTTGGAATGAAACCATTTGCTGATCCACGAAACCAAAGCAGAAAGATCAATTAACCACAATGTAAAAACTTACCCAACTCCTCATTTTATCACGTCCAATCTGCAACAAATGGTCAAGTCATAGCTAATTTATTTATGAACTTCTTCCAAACTGCGTATTCACCAAATAACAACAACCTTTACGTACCTATTCATCCATTAAATAGTAACTTTAGTACAAATATTTGTCCGTCTAAGATTACCATGACTGATATTTTTAATGGCATAAATGAGCTGCCAATAAGCCTACTGCTGGTCCAGATGGAGTGCCTAAAAGTGTGTCTACCCTTGTAATACCATCTGTTATATTGTTTAATAGATCTCTGGAAATCTCTATGTTTCCTTCTTCATGGAACGAAAGTTATGTTATTCGTATATTTAAAAATGGTCAGAAAGACAATATTGAAAATTATCGTAGCATTTGTTTACAATCTGCAATCGCTAAGCTCTTCAACTGTCTTGTAGCAAAGAAACTTTCTTGGTTATGTAAAGGCTTAATATCTCAATCACAGCATGGTTTTAATAATAAAAAATCGACTGCAACAAACTTGATTTGCTATCAATCTGATATAATATCTCAAATGGAAGACAGTAAACGGGTAGATGCAATATACACAGATTTTTCCAAAGCATTTGATCATGTAAATCACCAAAAACTTTTGGGCAAATTAATTAATGTAGGCTTCCATGTCAAGTTTGTTGAATGGTTAAAAACTCTACATCTGGTAGAAGTCAAAGAGTCAAGATGGGTTGTCATCTGTCTGACAGTATATCAGTAACGTCTGGAGTTCCTCAAGGAGGCCATACTTCTCCAATTTTTTTTTTTAATATCTTCGTTAACGATATCACTTTTTGTTTTCTAAATAGCAAATATCTAGTGTTGGCGGATGACTTGAAATTTTGGAAAGTTATAACTTTCGAAACTATAATTTATAAACCTGAAATTTTGGAAAATTATAGATAGCTTAAAAGATCAAGCCTTGTTGCAAGATGACTTAGACAGACTACAAAATTGGTGCAATCAGAACAAACTCCACTTAAATGTAAAAAAAATGTTAAATAAATGTTTCTCATAAAGTCAGTAGAATTGAAACAAGTTATAATATTAATAATCAGCCACTGAAGCTTAATTTCTGTAACCGCATAAACCCTATATCAATAAAGGCATCTAAACTTCTTAGTTTCGTTACTAGGAATTGCAAGTATGTTTTAATTGATTCAACAAGGTTAGTGTATTGTTGTTTAGTTCGAACTAATTTGGAATACTGTTTTAGTCTAGCATAAATTTTTGAGATATTGTGCTAACCATGTCCACACTACCATTGAAAATCTTGATTATTTCCGTATCTAACAACAATTATCTTTACTCTCACTCAAGAACCATCGTGATATATCAGGAGCTATATTTATATATAAGATCATAGATTTATTGATTGTCCAAACCTGTTAAGCCAAATTAACTTTAATGTTTCCCATCAAGTTCTACGTTACCACAATGTTTTCAATATTCCTTTCCACAGAAAAACCTGTGGTATTCTCAATCCATTAGATAGATACATCATCATCAATGGTGCTACAGCCCTATGAAAGAGCCTCGACCTTTCCAAGTCTATTACGCCAGGCAGTCCTATCCATTGCCAACCGTTGCCAGTTTGGTGCGCCTATCTTTCTACCATCCTCATCTACACCATCCTTCCATCTGAGTTTTGGCCTACCCTTTTTTCTACTTCCCACGGGTTGTGACATAAGGATTCTTCTAGGAGGGTTGTTCTGCTGTGATCTTGCTAGATGTCCTGCCCATCTTAGTCTTCCTATTCTTATAAGAGATACTACGTCTTTACCACCAAATATTTGTTTATATCTGTGGTATACCTCGTAGTTGTATCTCCTCCTCCAAACACCATTGTCACAGATGCCACCAAATATTCCTCTCAGGATCCTTCGTTCAAATATAAGCAGAAGGTCTTCGTCTGCCCTGGAGATGGTCCATGTCTCCGATCCATATGTCAACACTGGCTGTATAAGGGTTTTGTATATGGTTATTTTTGTTTTTTGGCTTAAGTTTCTACTTTTCATATGTCTACTCAGTCCAAAATAGCATCTGTTTGCCATTATTATCCTTCGCTTGATTTCTTCCGTTATGGCGTTCTCTTTGGTGATCAGGAAGCCTAAGTATGTGAATTTGTCCACCACTTCAAAGGTAGAGTTATCAACCGTGAATTGGGGACCGATGTTCCTGACTCTATTGTTGGGTGTTGATGCCATCATCTTAGTTTTCTCCTCATTTACTTGCAGGCCCATAGATTTTGAGGCATTTGTGAAGGTGGTATACATTTCTTCTAGCTTGTGTGTTGTGCGGGCAACTAGATCCACATCATCTGCATATGCCAAAATTTGGGATGATTTATTAAAAATATTTCCTCTGTTGTCTATTCGGGCATCTCTGATCGCCTTTTCCAGTGCTATGTTGAAAAGGAGACACGCCAGCGCGTCTCTCTGTCGCAGCCCAATATGCGTTCCAAACGCCTGTGATTGTTCGCCCTGTATTTCGACTTTGCAAACCACATTACGCATTGTAGCCTTAACCAATCTTATCAGTTTATCGGGGATGTGGAATCATTCATGGCTTCATACAATTTATTTCTTAGGACACTATCATAGGCAGAGAAGTCTACAAAAAGATGGTATGTATCGATATTGAATTTATTGGTTGTTAAAACTTTAAAAGATCTGACGACGGTCCTGTCGTCTTTGAAACGGCATAGCTTAGTTAGTTTGGCAACGACTTATTGCTAAGGGAGATTAGAAATTACCGTTAGAATTTATTTTTAGAAGTTCCACCTTTTGGGAGCCTACCTGTAACAACCCTCATTCATTATTATTCGGTTTCCAGTCATAGATGTAACAACGTAGTGTTAATTTATATTTGAAATATTTTTGTTGTGTTATTACAAACAATTAAGTTTTATTTCTTTTATATTATAAAAACAGTTTATATAACAGTCACATAGAAGTAATTAAATAGTTTCATGTACGGTCTTTTGTTCTTTAATAAAACCACGGGAAGTCCAAATAATATTTAAAAACAAGTAACTGGAAGAACTCAAGATTCCCGGTTTTCCACTGAGCAGTTACCATCATTGGTTTTTTTTAGTATTTGCCTTAGCACAAAGATCTGATCTGTTGTTGATCGACCAGGCCTAAAGCCATTTTGATATTCCCCGAGAAGTTCCTCTGAATATGCACTTAGGCGACCATATAAGATCCTCGAAAATATTTTGTATGCTGTATTAAGGAGGGTTATTCCCCTATAGTTTCTACATTCCAATTGGTCACCCTTTTTGTGTAGGGGGCAAACGATTCCAATACACCACTCTTCCGGGATTTGTTCCTCATTCCAGGCTCTCAATATAATTTTATATATTTGATTAGTCATTAGATAGATACATGGGGCTATTAAATGTTCTCGAGTTTGATATTTTCAATATAACTTTAACTCATTTGAAAAGATTTTTTCTAGTAAGATTTTTAGTCTCATTTTTTAAACCTTTTTATACTTTTTAATACTGATTTTACATTACAAGTAATTTTAAGTTTTGAATCCTGTGATATTGTATATTGTAATTTAAACTGTTAATGGGGTTATCCAGAGTAGTAAATAAATAAAATAAGTAAATAAAAATAAGTACACTGAGGTGTACATCAAGATCTAAAGGGTTAATTCTATTATTTTTCTGTTCCCTCGAATAGAAAAAAGGGCAAAAATTTAAAAAGGTTTCTGTGGTTTACTGATTTCTACTTTAGTTTAACAAATCGTTTTTAGGTGCCGTCCCAGTGATTCTAGGTGGGGATCAAATTAAACTCGCCTATGACGAAGTCATCCAATGGAAGCGCGCTGCCGTATTTTTACCACGTCCCCGTATTACCGAACTTCATTTCCTTTTACGGGCCATTCCAGACGAAGACGTTTTGTTACTGCGTCGACAAGGGCGTCTTATCTGGGAACGATATCTTGCCTCTGTGCAAAGTACTTTGGATACCATAGTAGCCGTTTTACGAGATAGGCTGAATATTCCAGCCGCAGCTGCAGACACTGTTTTAGCCCTTAGTGTGTTCAATGAAACATTCCAGCCAATACAAGTTTCGGTAAGTATTATTAATATAGATTCTCGGTAAAACAATTTGTTGATCTAGTGCCTCATTAAGATAGATAGATATATACGTTTATTGACAATTTTTACATAGTAAACACTATACTCGTTTTCATCGTTCTTGGCGTGTGCCTGAAATAAGCTACTACGGAATTTTTAATATTCGTTTCTTTCTGATACACAGGTACGTAATTCAAGTGTGCGAGTCACGTTCGTCATGGTAAAGTGCGATGAGAAGGGAATGAAGAGACCACTCACGTCTCCCAGTATTGTAGCATTAACACCGATGCGTTTGGCCGATACGGTGTCGGTGATAAGTTCGGTCTCATTATGAATACAGATAGCTGGCAGTGACGTATTTTTTTGTTAACATGTTACCCTGATCTGTGCAGGTTTGAAGTAGCTGATGAAATAGTTTTTATAAGTAAACAGTTTTTAATTAATTAATGGTTTGAGCTCTTACTGTGTGGAATTCCATTACATAAAATAATACTCTCGACACCTTAAAAATTCCAGTTTATTATAAATTAACTCTCTCTCTCTCTTCCGATACTCATTGCAATAATGACTTGTGGCATTGTTCTTGAATGAGCTGGCTAATAGGTTTATAATTGTAGCAATTACCATTGATATTTTATGTTGTTTTAGTCGATTTTAGTCAGTCATTGTTGGAATTTGTTCCGAACAGTTTTACTTATTATTTTTGTTGTGAATAACTAATTGTTCTATTTAATAAAAAAAATGCCGGGAAAAACTATAACAGGAGAAACGCGACAATGTGTAGTTTATTTATTGGAGTATTTTAAAAAAGAAAAAGAAAACAACGGACCTTTGCGTTCGTTATCATCGGTACATAAACGAGTAGCGGACGCTTTGAAAATCAGTCTTCGCACAGTGACAACAATAAAGAGTGAATACAAGACAGGGGCAGCTCTTACTACACCAGGAGAGTCACGTAATGTATAAAAAAAAAGACTGATGATGTCAGCGATACTATAAAAGGAGTGATTAGAAATGTACTGTATGGCATGAAAGCAAAAGGAGAGCACGTTACAATTAAAGTTTTAAATACACAATTAAGAAACAAGCATCTCTATGACGGTTCTGATACAAATTTGTGGCGTCTTATGAAAAATTGTGGGTTTTCATACAAACTAGAAAATAGTAGACGAGTGCTATATCCTGTCCTATTATACTGCAAGCTAGAAAAATACTTCTTCGCAATTTATACGTATATTCCGTTATTAGAAATTTAATGAAAAATAATTTATAATTTTATTTTATAACTATTATTTCTTTTGACATGCTACATTTTGCTCCGCCACTGGAGGAGGTAAACGAATCGAGCTTAGACAAGGAAAGACAGATGAACAGAGAGACAATGACATTGCAAGTGTTTTTACACTCACACACCAAGAACGATGAAAACGTTTATACATGTCATGTCACAATATAAATAAGTCACTTATGTATAGATATGACATAACTAAGAAATATTACAAGAAAACATAATATAACATAAAAACAATCAATTAGGTGTAAAATAGTTTTCATAAAAACGACCACACTAGGAGCTCAAATAAACAAATTCCTGTATACTATAGAAACAGTGTTCCAGCAGGTATTTTGCTAATTTATAAAATTGTTTAGATTTCATTGCCTTAATATCAATATTTTTGTTCAGATTTAAAAAACAATTATACAGATTATAATCTATTGTGTTAAGTTGTGTAACACACAATCTGGAATATGGTATAATGATATGAATTTTGTTCTTGTATTGTACTGATGTTGTCAATATGTCAGGATGCCATGAACCATTCCAAAATACACTGATCTAAGAATATCTCGACTCACAGAAGTGGCCAATCTGCGCATGGCAAAAATCTGTGAGGCGAGCTTCTTACACAATCATTCAATATGGTGGCTCTTGTGTTGTGTTTGTGTTTTCTGCTCGTTTAACTTAAGTTTGTTAACCCAGAATTTAAATTTTTCTAATATTTCCCGACTGTAATCAGTTTTACCTCTACATAATAAGGTTGTGTCATCTGCAAAAAGAGCACAGTTGGTGTTTTCCAACGCACTTGGTATAATATTTGTGTGCTTACTTACTTTATTTTGTATTAATTAATTAATTATTATAAATAAAATAAAACAAGACATCGTTTTAAGTTGACGGTTGACACCTGTCCTCTTTTATTCAATAGCAATTTCTAGCAAATGCCAACATCCAAAATGACATCATCATGACATCTCCCTTCCTAAGATAAGATTTCAACATTTGCTAGAAAGGAACACTTAAAGAACTTAGAAGCTAATACAATAATAAAACCATATACACCCATACACACATTATATGTACACATATATATATAGTTTATACGCTATAACTAAAGTTTAACCCGAATATACAAGCTAATTACTATTACCAAAATACAAAATACATTGTTTACACATTAAAAATTAGGTCTAATAGGAGGTTTAACAATTCGCCCAGATCTTGTTCTCGTAACAATCTATCCTTTAATGAAACATCTGAGATTCCAAGGATTAGACGATCACGTATTAAACTGTCAGTTAGAGTGTCGAATTCACAGGTACTTGCAAGCTGTCTCAGTTCTGTTACATATGAGTCGTATGTCTCTAGCCCTATCTTGTCTCCAGTGAAAAATAAGTATCGTTCATATGTGACATTTTTGGAAGGTGGAAAGTACTCTTTAATTTTTGTTAGAATAACTTTACAAGAAGTTTTACTTTAGTTTTACTTACAAGACCACTCGAAATTGTTATAAATACGAAGAGCCCGGTCTCCAATTCGATTCAACAGCACGCTGCCTTGCAAACTGTCGTTCTCCTCATTAAGCTTGCTGGCTTCCAAAAATATTTTAAATTTTTGTTCGAAAAAGCTCCAATTATCTGCCATATTACCATCAAAACAAAGTTCTGTTACTGGAACAACGTGCTCGTTCATTTTGGAGGTTATTTGAAACTACAATTACATAACAATTTTCAAAATATTACTTATCAATTCTCCTTAGGGTGCGAAGATATCGAAATATGACTGCGCCATATAATATTTGTGTGCTTACTTACTTTATTTTGTATTAATTAATTAATTATTATAAATGAAATAAAACAAGACATCGTTTTAAGTTGACGGTTGACACCTGTCCTCTTTTATTCAATAGCAATTTCTAGCAAATGCCAACATCCAAATGACATCATCATGACACTTGGTAAATCATTTATATATATTAAAAATAGCAGAGGTCCCAAAACTGATGTTAGACGTATTTCTATTATCTCTTCCTGCAGCAATTTTCGCATAGCTGATGGTTGGTTGAGTCATTGAAGGATTTACTGCACGAGGACTTGCGTTTTTTTTCTCGCAGTGTAGGAAATTTTTTTTCTGCAACTCTTTGTACACCTAACATCCCTTATAGCTGGCAAGATGATTTTCTAGACAATTTACACATTGAACATCTTTTATGTTTTCTTGTTTTGGCCATTGTGCGTATGGCCAAAATGCTATCTTTGACATTGGGGTAGTTCCCTTTTCGGGTGCGGTGGCTCAACTGTGTCAATATTGTTGAGTAATTTTGTCATATCATATATGTCTTTATTATTACTTTGAATGGTCAGTTCTATATTAAATAATGGCAGATCTTTTTTTGTGCCTCTTTGCTTAATGTTGGAGATGTTCAGTGTTGTATGTCCGTACACTAGCAGCGCTTTTTTAATGTCATCTGGAAACCACGGATAACCACATTAAAAATAATGTAGATGACAAACAAACTATCAAATATATTTTTCTTTTAGGTCGCCAGCGAAGTGGAACAGGAAGAAAGTTTAGGTCCCCTTGAACCGCCTTTCGATAGTCCCACATATCGCAGAAACTACAGTATATCACTAGTCCAAGGTCCAGAAATTTGGAACGATTGGGGTGATCCATTTCGGTTATACCCTGCATTACCTATGGACCCTCTTCTATCGTCAGACGCCAAATTCATCGGTTCTGGTCGTGGTTTTAGGCCCATAGGTCAAGGTCAGGGCGGTTCTGGTAAAGAATTTTCTGAAGCTTTGGGGGGTAATTCTCCGAGAGAACAATTTACTGTATTACTACTCACTTACGAAAGGGAACAAGTATTGTTGGATTCCATAGCGAGGTTGAGGGGCCTACCTTATTTAAATTCCGTGGTAAGTAGGCGAAATTGTTGGTCTAATTTTTATACTCAAATAGCTTATATAAATTACATAAATCATATTTGTACGCCGGATGTAAAGGACATCAGGTAACAAAAATAAAAATGTTCAGAAGAGCTATTTTTTTTTTTTGTTTATTTTAAATTTTCTATTTTAATTAAAGACGTGGCTCATTGAAGTTTTAATATACTATTTTTGGTTTTCCATATTAAATAAAGATATTTTTACAAAAATAAAATTTTTTGTTTTAGCTACAAAAATTTTTTTTTTATACACCTCTGAACATAAACATTAAAATTTGGATATAATGTTGTGAATTCATATTTTGACAGCTGCTGTTTTAATGATTTTTTATCGTATATAACACCAAGTAAAGCAAAAACACTACACTTATTCATACATCTTTTTATTAATAATAAGAACAATCTTAATGGTTTACAAATAAAAAATTGTTACAAACGTGAAAACTACAAAAATTCAAGTGGACCTATTATCAAAAAAACATGAAAAAGTTTTACTTATTGTCTAATAAAAATAAATTTATGGACCCTTACTAAAAGAAACAAAACTCAGTAGTCAAAATATTATTTAACAAAAGTGTTTTAATTCTCTAAAGAATCAATATCATTGTTCTCAGGATAGTCTTCATTATTATCATTGGTTTTCTGAAGATTTTTATAAAATGCGTGACACACACTGGGTACATACGATAATAATGAAATTAAATCATCGTATTTTTGTTTTGTGATATTGGAACTGGTGACTTAATTGGTAGATGTAATGGCAAATCATTATTTTTTGATCTTGTACTTCTCGTCAATCTATTAAGGTTAACTGTAAACTCACTATCAAATGATGACTTTAAGTAGATCATACCAATGGTCTCCTGTCGCATTTGAATATGAATACATGTCGAAAGGAGAACCTTATCGTTTTCAACATTCTTTTTTCGATGAATGAAGGGCGCAGCTTTTCCTGAAAAAAGTGTATTAAAGTGCTTGAAGTCATTTTGCACACACGATAATTACAAGAACACATGCGAACCATCTGCTGCCAGTCCCAAGGGGTTAAAATTGTCATGTTATTCAGTTTTTTTCGTTTTCTTTCAATTAATGCATGGACTGTATCGGCCTCCATATGCGTGTGCCCCTTAAGAAAGTGTTTTAGATTTACATATTTAATTTGAGTATACTTGTGCATGATCCAGAAGAAACCCATAATAATTGAAATATTTTTGTTTTGGCCGTAGCAGTTATCTGACCATAACGTAATTTCAATTACCTCTGATGTGGGGGTTACACTTCAAAATTGCTGATAAGATTTCTTCTCCACCTCGGGAAGCTTCAGTCTCATCCCATATCATACAGTAAACACTTTTATCTAATGAATCAAAAAGAGTGTAATTTAGTGTCCACAATTTCCGTTTTTAAAAACTTGTCAGTTGTTACAAGTGGTGTGGGCAAACATTTTTGAAGATCACCTGATTCTGTGACGGATATTTAGCTTGAAGTACGTTTCTATTTATTTGAATTAAATGGTTATCTTTAAGCCTGGCCTGGAAAGAGTCGCAGTCGTCACAAGTATCTACTTCTGGTGGTTTAAATGACAACTTAAATTATTTATCAAAGACATCATAATAGGCCCATTTTTTAGCTATAAATTGTTTTGCTATTTGATTTTCTTCACAAAACTGTAGATATAAAGTGTACATTTTTTCTTTATTTAATTCTGGACCCAAGTATTAAAACTGCGTTTTTTTCTGCTGTAATGATTCTAGTAGCATGGGAAAGAAGAAATATGTTGAACAACATTTTCAATAGTCAGAGGTGAAGTTTGTTGCCAAAATTATTTAATCAAATGTAGTTGCAGTAGTATAGAACATTATGTCCACATGATGTTTTATAACTTTTTTTAATTTTCACAAATCTACAGCATCATGTCCACATAGTGTTGTTTACCTCTGAATTAATCAGGAAATGAAGTTATTTCTCATTGGCTATCTTTGTAATTTTTAGTAGTTGGACATGGTTTTTTATACCATTTTGTAGAGCAGAAAATGTACATCAAGGACATAAAGTTAACTCAATTTCGCTAAAAAATGAACATGGTATGAATTTAGTGTTTTATGGAATTACTGTAATGCGTTGCCAAAAACAAACACAAGAAAATTAACAAATTGTTCTCCCTTGGGCAGTATACAATATATTGCCGGGCAATACATTCAAAATCAGTAATATTTTGTAGGATAACAAGTGTTATACATGCTCATTTATATTATCTTCTCAAAACTGCACTTGCGGAGAGTTGGGTACATTGGAGAATGTGATTTTATATTGTGCAAACTTCCAGGTGCTAAACCAAATGTTATACAAGAATCTACAAACACAACAGGAACTACTCTCCCCACCAATTTAAATGCCATCCTATGTACACGTAATATAAAATTCTACAAAATTGTTAATAACCAGCTAAAAATATGAAAATTGATATCTAACTCTTTCGGTGCGGTACCGGTTTATGATAACGTAGGGTCACCATATGATAAAGTGACCACTGCTCTTGGAACGCCATAAAATAAGATAGGTATTCTTGTGGTATAAACCGGTCGTCACATCCCTGGGAGTGCTCGTCTTTGTTACATATTTTATTGTTACATCTCACGGTTATTGATTACCACTGGTGTGACTATTCACGAGCAACTAGGATTAGATCTATTTAATTAATTAATTATTATATTTTAAAAAATGGTTACTGTTTATTTTAGGTTGTGGTTTGGAACTCTCCAAGGCCGCCTAGTCCCGAATTAAGATGGCCAGACATTGGAGCTCCTGTTCATGTCGTTAAAGCAGCTAGAAATTCGCTTAACAATAGATTTTTACCTCTAGAAAACCTAAAGACTGAGGCGATATTATCCGTAGATGATGATGCCCATTTGCGACACGACGAAATATTATTTGGCTTCAGAGTTTGGAGGGAACATAGGGATAGAATTGTTGGATTTCCAGGAAGGTACGGTGATACACTAAAAAATATTATATTGCTTTGGTACAACGTTGCATGCTTTTTAGAATGATTTATCTGTTTATTAAATAAACAAATTTTGTTTTTAGATACCACGCCTGGGATTTAAATACAAAAAATAGCTGGTTGTACAACTCAAACTACAGTTGCGAACTAAGTATGGTGCTTACAGGTGCGGCATTTATCCATCGCCACTATCTTCATCTATATTGGAAATGGTTACCACAAGCAATAAGAGACAAAGTTGATGAATACATGAATTGTGAAGACATCGCCATGAATTTTCTTGTTAGCCATGTAACCAGAAAACCCCCGGTTAAGGTTACTTCGAGATGGACTTTCAGATGTCCAGGATGCCCTCAAAGTTTGTCCGAAGATGATACGCACTTCCAGGAGAGACACAAATGCATTAACTTTTTTACGCAGGTATTATTTTTTAATCTTTTAAAATTTACATTTTTAAAGTAAAGTCAAATGGGGCAGTTATGAGGAATCATTTAAATCTTTTGATTTTTGATGCCTAAGCGACACGTTATTCAGCATGTGGGGCAAAGATAACACTTAATTGTTAGAATACAAGTGAGACACTATCCACACATGTTGGAGTAGCAAGTCTAATGAGTGTAATATAATATTTAAATCTACTACAGTTCATTGTGGAATGAAAATTAATATTGCCCCAACCAAACTTACATGAAACTATCATGTAACTGATATTTTTTAAATGATTATGTCATTACTTGATTAATTAACAAAGAACACTAAATTGAGAAATTGATATGCGACAACAGCGTGAGCTAAATAATTAACACACTTCAGTTGACAGACAAATAGTATAAACGGTTTGCCCTCTCTATGAGTGTAGATGATTTTCCCTCAAAAGAATAGGCGGTGCTTACCTGTACAGCAGGTTTAAGGTTAATAAGGTCTATCTATTTGATATTTAGTGTGGTGGTAAGAGGTTAAAAACAAATAAATAACATGTCAAGTATGTATTTTCAAGAAGAAAAAATTCAAATGGTGAAATGATATTATATCAACCATTATATTGAAGAAATAATACAGTTATTTAGTGCGGTCTTTGAAAATTGCCCAATTCCGACAGAGAAAACAGTACGATTATTTATTAAAGCTTTGAAAATTTCGGTTGCATAAATATCTGTATGAAATGTTGTCCAACTGAACAACCACGATCGAAACAAATCTCTGTTGAACGCGAAATGCAAGTTTATTTAACTGCTGAAGAAATGCCTTGTTCGAATAGACAAATTGCGGATGAAGTTGATCTAAACTAGAGAACTGTAAGAAATATTTTAAAGTTTTGTGGAAGACTGTAAGAAATATTTGTGGAAGACGGTCACACTCAACGGCAAGAACTGTTGGCGTAAGCCTTTCTACGGTTCAACGAGTGCTTCAACGATTTCAGGAGAAGGGTTTGCTATCCAGACGACCTGGCTCTGGACGAAGAAGAACGACCACGGTACGAGATGACCGTTTCCTTGTGTTTCGAAAGCTTCACGAAACCGGACCTCAACTGCGGTTATGCATAGAAATAATCTACAGGAAGTACGAAATCGCAATGTTAGCGTTGCAACAATCAGGAGAAGACTTCGTTCTTCTGGACTATCTTCTCGGGTAATGGCTACAGGACCGCCACCTCGCCGGGCGCATCGAGTTGCACGGCTTTTTCTCGACAATACGCGCATTGGGGAATTAACGATTGGAAGAAAGTGTTATTCTCAAATAACTCCTGTTTCATTTGGTGGAGACTCGTTCATTAATTGGGGAGGAGTATCTTTCGACTTCTGCTCAGAATTACCATTCCTCGAAAATGGTTGCTTAACTGCACGAAGGTACATTACGGAGATTCTGGAAGAACATTATGCCCACCATGATAGGGTTTGGAGAAGACCCCGTTTTTATTAAGGACAACGTGCGACCGCTCGTTGCCAGGATCAGTATGCAATTCTTGGACGAGGTCGGAATTACGAGGTTACCCTGGCCCGCTAGGTCTCCGGACTTGAATTCCATCGAATATCTCTGGGACAATTTGGAAAAACGTATTCAAACCCATACACCTCCTCCCAACAACGCGCAGGCGCGTAAGGACCTGTTAGTGAGAGAGTGGAATAGCATACCATAACATGTAATCCGGGGAAAAATTCAGAGTATGCCTCGTCGTCTGCAAGATGTTATTAGAGCAAGGGGACGCAATACACGATAAGTCGTTGAAATTTCACTGATGTTTTACCACGTTCTACATTTTCCATTGTTTTTTTTTTTCTTATGCCTGTTTGATCAACAATTTGGTTTGTTTTCTGCTTTTTTTTTTGTTTTCTGCTTTTTTTTTCAAAACAAACATTGATGACAAATAAAAAATTAGCCTTTAGCCAAAAAAGGTTATTACTACACCAGAGGCAAAAATATTAAAGACACTTGAAATTTTCCCGGTGGCCCGGATTTTATGATCGCGAGTGTGGTAACCACTCAATTGTATAGCCTAATGTGGGCTGTAGCATCTTTGGAAGAAGACATAAGATAATTTTTTATCTGCATGCAATATTTCTAAGGTTACAACTGTTTTTGTCCATTTTGACCGGATTACAAATAAATTAAAAATTATTAAGACACTTTCAGTCGCTAATCAGGACATGGCCACCATTTTTCAATATGGTAATACTTAAAACACAAATAACGAACCCGTTATTCCTGAGCTCTTAAGGGGGTATGTTGACGTCGCAGTTATAATGAGTGACATTAAAATAAACGAACGTTTATCAATTCTTTGAGTAGATGGCAGCACGTAGATCTAATATTTTAATTTTCCCGAAATTTAATTCTCTGAATAGCGACGTTGTTGCCAGTTGCCGATGCCAAGTTCAAGTACTAAAACTTACGATCGGTACAGTTCGCTCTTAATTGGCAGTATTCTTTAATGCAAATTGTCGTAAAATTAGGGAATTTTTTAAGTAAACATTATTAACACAAGTAGTTACTTGACATTTATCCTAATATACACATTTTTAATAATTTTCAAATGTTTACTGATTTTTCAAATTAAAATTTAATAAAAATAATCACATTTTTCTTTTATTCTTTTTTGTGTATAAAATTATGAGAATAGGAAAAGTTGATGTAATATAAACAAAATTTTACTAATCTCTTTAATCAATAACAAATACCTTTTTATAATAATTTGATGACCATGGTACTTCAACAAAAGAGGCTTTTTGAAATGTACCTAAGGGTTCCTGACTAGTAGATACAAAAAGTTCATTCATATGGATATATTTTATTATTTATTGTATTTAGACAGCATTCAGACTTCTAAAGAATTCTAAATTCTTTACCTGCTCAAAAATATTTATTCCAAACTGATAAAGAAATTTGAAATTGTTTGAAAAACAGGCAAATAATGATCAAAAATGGGATTATGGTAATTCTCAATTGAAAAAAGATAGTTAGGTACTATTTATTTATAAGAGCAGTATTTTTAAGAAATATAAAATTAGTTAGTCAGTTGAAAAACATCACTATAATAATATTTTGTTCATATCGAATGTCAACAGGGGAAGTCTTTTCCTTAAAAAATTTCAGATTTTCATCTCATTTCTTATTATGACTCAAATAAATTTCAATAATCTTTTTCACTGTCGGAAATAATCGATGCTTACTTAATATTGTTTTGTCTATAAAAATTAAATTTGTCAAAAATTGAATAAAATTGGAATTGTTTGTAGATAGGCCCCACGTGATATGCTAATCCAGTATAAACACCCAGTTAACTTGACTGACCAGTTTGACTTTCAACCACGATTATATAACGTTACGGTGCCAAGGATAAAAATGGTATACTTGTATTGTTAAGACACTGTGACATTATACAATCACGATTGAATATTGAAAGTCAAACGAAACCAAAATATTAACTGGGAGGGGCCGCTTTGCTAAACAAAACAACGTGATTCGTATTACCTTGGCTACTGCATAAACCATAGACAATTTGCATACAAAACTAGTTTTCAATGTTTTGTAGATTTTTCTTAAATTCGGCAAACGCGCATCTGTCGCCATTTATCACTGCTGCCTTCTACTAAAAGACACGTAAAAGACTTTTTAGATCTATTATGTGATTTAAAGGTTATGGTTAATTTAAAAATAACAGAAGTATGAATAATAAAACATTTTCTTAAAATAGAGGATATTGATAGTTAATCATTTAACTTAGGTATTTTGTACCTAAGTTATTTTATACACAAGTAAAAATTATTACACAATACCAATTTTTAAGTAAGTTACCACGTTATGTCATGGATTCATTTAAGTGCAGTTATGAAAAATTTACTGCTTTCTTTGGAAATTTTAACTAGATATCATTAAAATAGAAAGTTTACCGTTTACCTACATAATCATAAATTAAAAATTTGTTTGAAATAGTGATGATAACTACTGTACCTAAAATGTATATAAATTTTGACATTGTGACATATTATCACCTTAATGAATTTTTTTATTCTCTTCTTAATGTAACAATAAAAAAGGTGTCAACATTTAAATACACACCTTTTTATGAAGAGTTCCATTTAAAATTTTTCTTTTATTTTTCAGGTATTCGGATACACGCCATTGCTAAATACACAATACAGAGCTGATTCTATTTTGTTTAAAACTAGGATACCTCATGACAAACAAAAATGTTTCAAATTTATATAGATAAGCATCAAAACCAAAAATTCAAAGCTAGACTAAGTATTAGGTATTTTTTATCTACATCTGAGTACAATTTGTATATTATTCAACATTTTTGTAAAGTGAATTTTTAATTTATTTTGTAAATTGTAACAGTGTAATTTATTGTGATATATTATGACTTTTTTACTGTTTTAAATGTGCCATTTTTTCAATAGGCGAATAACGATTAATATGTAAATAAATTGTTGAAAATATTTTTGATTATTATTAAAATTGACCGAACCCCTTATTTTCATTGGCCAGAACCCATAACTCCGTCTCCTACACCGATAGTTCAGTCGGGTTAGATTTATTAACCTTTGGATCAATAGTAGCGTAAATTTAACATGGTGACTGAATTCCACCGTTGCGTTAGCCGTCATCTTGAATACAAAGGAGAACAATTTTTGCTCAATATCTCCGCCATGTTGAACTTTTCGACAAAAATGACAAATTTTTTCGTGCAGCCGATATTTTTCCAGTTGGGGGAAAGCATAATTATTGAGAATAGACAGATAGAGGCAAGAAATTCTTTCAACAAACTGAAAAAAGTACTCTGCAGCAGGGACATTTCAATTTCGTTAAAGATAAAACTTCTGAGATGCTACGTGTTCTCCGTATTATTTTATGGGTTGGAGGCTTGGACATTAAAGAAAGATGTTTCTAGAAGCCTTCGAGTTATGGGCCTACAGAAGAATATTTACAATAAGTTGGGTGGATAGAGTCACGAATGTCGAGGTGTTGAGAAGAATGGGAATAGGTAAAGAGGTTTTAAATGGAATTAAAGTCAGAAAACTGCAATATCTGGGACAAGTCATGAGGGGCGAGTGTTATAACTTGTTGCAATTAATAATGCAAGGAAGAATACAGGGTAGAAGGAGTCGCGGAAGAAGACGCATCTCCTGGTTAAACAATTTGAGAGCTTGGTTTAATTGCACTTCTGCTGACCTCTTTAGAGCAGCGGTATCCAAAGTGCGAATTTCCATGATGGTTGCCAACATGGCAAAGATAGATGATGGTGGGGAAGGAATGGATGCCAATAACTTCTTAGAGAACATGGCACACATGAAGAAGATAATTATTGAATCATTATCTTGTTTGCAAAGGATGACGAAGTACAACAGATTTTAGTAGCTGAGCTTTTAGTGCATAAAAGGCGTGCAAAAAGATTTTATAAATTAATGAATAATTCTGCATTATTCTCTCAATGCTCAGTAAAGTGGCTCAAATGTATGAGACAACAATTAATATTACTTTTGCCGTGCGAGGGCAGAGTTATTTGCCAGTAGATCGTGTTTTCGGAAGAGTCGAAAAATCATTAGAAAAACTGAAGAGGCTTTGTTAACAACTGATTACCACATTTTATTTGAAAAGTTTGAAGATGTGTTTTTTCTCGGCGAGAACTGGTTTACTTATGACTGGAAAATATAGTTTAGGAAGTACACAAAATCAAAAATGAACTTTACTATAACACAAATTAAATCCATAGAGATAACAGCTAGCAGAGTGGGTTGCAAGTCCAGCTATTCGGATCTTTCCATATGTTTTCATACACTGTTAAAAAGATGGGAAGAAATGGTCATCTCTTAATTCAAACAGAGAGGCCTTGGGCCATTTAATTAAGAAAGAGAAGTTGAAAGATGTTAAATTACTTTAATAATTAAAGAATTATCTGAAAATCTCGAGATTGAAAACGTCCGAATTGCCTAAATAAAATATAACAGTACTCGGTGCCTTGGACATAGAGACCCTTCTTAAATAAAACATCGCTCGCTCCACTAACCAATCCTAATCCCAAATACTGCAGTAATTAGTAAACAGTATAGTATCTGAGGGCTCCGATTGCGTTATGATTATTTGTTGAAGATAAAAATATTATTTACTTTGATAAATCACACACATGAATTTGTTAAGAAAACTAAAAGATACAACAATGTTAAAATAACTAGAGAGTTTTATAAAGACGTCTACACCAGTCAAAGACCACAAGACAATTTCCCGAAACGAGTAAGTACTCTCATAAATCAGGACTCTGAAGTACTTTTACCAATAACAGTGTCAAAAAAAGAGCAGCTTTAAAGGAAATAAAAAACCATCAGTTACCGGAGGCGTGCATATCTGATATAAACTGACAATCAAAATGTTAATAGAATATGAGGAGGAATTCAATGCTGTATCACAAATACCCAATAGCAGAAGTAAAATAGAGCGACAGTAAACGAGAAACAATAAAAAAAGTAATCATACGCGTACGAAAAAGTCATTAATGCAATCATATAAACTGAAAATGGAAGAAATTTTTAATTATCCTTAAAAGCAACCAATAATTACCAAATCGTATCAAAAACAAAGATTACTTGTTGAAAGAAAAGTGTTCTGACAGGTTCTTCGGTAGTATTGATCAGAGAAAAGTTTATGACCATACATCAGGAGATGAATGGCATAAGTGTGAAGGGTACAGAAAAACAAAGCAGATATTCGTTAGAGTGCGTTATATAGTTGTTTGCCGGTAACCATGCTCATTTTACTATAAATAATTGAAGGCACGTTTTATTTACCGATGAGTCCAGGTTCACCTTGCGGTCTCCAGATAGCCGTGAGAGAGTATGGCGAAGACACATAAGCGTTTTGCAGAATGTAGCTTCAGTCCTAGGGTAGGCTATCAAGGGGGCTCAATTATATTGTGGGCTGGAATTTTTGTAGACACACATACATAATTTTTCCTCATAAGGAACAATACAAATACACATTCGAAAATACAAGAGGTCAAAGGTCAATGATAGACTACATCCTGACGAACAGGGTAATACATCCCTCTCAAGTATTGGACATAACAGCACTAGTATCTGCAGAAATAGGAAGCGACCATAAGCTTATACTTGGAAAAATCAGAATGACGACACGAATATGTAACAATAAAAACAATAAAAATAAAAAAGAAGAATACACCACAAAGGTAAAAGTCGAGAGTCTGCAGAACGAATCAACAAAATTTCTATACCAAAAGAGAGTCAAAGATAAACTCGACAACGTGCACATCGTAGAAAGTGATGGAATCGAAGAAAGCTGGGCGAAAATTAAAGCAAGTATCCTAGATTCAGCAAAAGAAGCTGTAGGAGAAAGGAAAATTCTTAAAAATAAATATTTCCAAAAGCGGAAAACTCCGTGGTTCTGCGCAGAAGTGAAAGAAAAATGCAAAGAAAAAAAGAAAGCTCACTTAAGATACATGTCTAACAAAACACCACAAGAATACAACAATTACAAAAAGATAAGAAACGAAACAATAGCACTAGTAAGTAAAATTAAAAACGAACACTGGGAACGCTTCTCAAAAGAAATGGACCACGACTTTTACGGTCTACAAAAGAAAATATGGCGTTTTATAAGAGGCCAAAGATCAGAGATGAAAGACTTAATCGAACCGAAACACATAGATAACGACACATGGATTGAATACCTAAAGAAGCTTTATAATGATGAACAGCAAATGATGTTAGAACCAGAAACACCAGAAATCATTACAAACGAGGAAGTCGAGATAACCGTACAAGAAGTAAAACAAACTTTAGAAAAACTGAAGAACAGAAAAGCTGCAGGTAAAGATGGAATTCCAAATGAATTATTGAAATATGGTGGAGAAGCATTAACAGAACAGCTAACAGCACTAAGTAACGAAATCATCAAACATAATAAAATACCTGAAGAGTGGAAGAAAAGCGAGCTTATCCTACTATACAAAAAAGGAGATAAAAACAACCTGAAAACTACAGAGGTATTAACTTATTAAACACCACTTTGAAGCTTACAACCAAAATATTGCAAGGCCAAATAAATCAGAGAATTACCTTAGCGGATGAACAGCAGGGTTTTCGCACAGGAAGATTGTGCACAGATGCAGTATTCATCATAAAACAGATTACCGGATAAGCACTAGAGTATAACAGACGAGCATTCATATGTCTAATAGACCTGAAGAAAGCGTTCGATAAAGTAAAGCTTAAGTCCGTTTTACAGCTTGCAATTTTACCTGCAAGACGCAAGAAAGTTGCCCAAAGGCATGCGCAGTATGTCGTCAGCTGATTATTGCCTGCAACTTATTGCAGTTGCGCGATAATCGGTTTGGTGCCATTTTCTGTGCAAGTTTTCATGCAAGTCTAGGGGAATTTGTAGGAAGTTTGATTTTTTCACAATGTCAAATGTCATAATCACTGATTGACACGGAGATATGCCGATCAGCTGTTTCCTGTTTTGTTTATTTTTTCCTTTCCCACACATTTTTTGTATTTAGCTTGGCTTGATTTGTAGATTATCGGCTTTTTCTAATTTTAATATTTTTAATTAATACGTTAGAGTATCATCAAAAATTGAACTATCTTCTGCCCGAAGTACCAACAATGTCTTGCATAGTCTTGGCATTACGAAATTTACTATCTATCTATCTAAATCAATCTATCTATTGAAATTAATTCTAAATATATCATTCTAAATTCTAATCTAAATCTATCGAAATTAATTCTAAATCTATCTATCGAAATTAATTCAATCTATCTATCAAACTAAATCGACTAAAGTGTTTTAAATAAACAAGTAATTAAAAAAAAATCATAAATAAGTTAGGTAAGAGTAAAAATTTCAACATTAATTGCAAGCTGTAAAGTCGCACATAAAGACCCTGCAATAAATTGCATGAAAGTTAGTCATGCAAGAAGTTGCAGCAAGTTTTCTTGCAAGCTGTAAAGCGGTCTTTAAAGATGTAATTCACCTTCTTTACGATAGAGAAATTCCACTAGATGTTATAAAAACAATAGAGAACATTTACCAGAACAACAATATGGAAGTCAGAATAGATGACCAGCTTACAGATCCAATAGATATGGGCAATGGAATAAGACAAGGAGACTCGCTTAGTCCAACGCTATTCAATGTAATCATAGATGAAATCATCAATACTATTATTAAAGGAAGAGGATACAAAATGGGGAACAAAGAAATCAGAATACTCTGCTATGCAGATGATGCGGCCCTAATTGCATCCAATGAAGACGATCTACAAAGACTAACCCATAGATTCAACATAAGGGCAAAGGACTTTAATATGGTGATCTCTACACAGAAAACTAAAACAATTGTAATCAGTAAAGAACCAATTAGATGTAAACTGGAAATCGACGGTATCAGCATTGAGCAAGTAATGGAGACAAATTACCTAGGAATTACACTGTCTAGCTACGGAGATGTGGAGAAGGAAGTTAATAATCAAGTACAAAAGGCTAATAAAATAGCAGGTTATCTTAATAACACGATATGGCGTAATCCCCACATTAATACCGACGTGAAATCAAGAATCTACAAAGCAACAATAAGACCAATAATGACATACACTTCAGAGACAAGATCGGATACCTCCAAAACTCAGCAACTACTAGAAACAGCGGAGAGGCGTTTACTGAGGAGAATTACAGGAAACACACTGAGGGATCGAATGAGGAGTGAAGAGATCAGAAGAAAATGCAATATACCAGAAATAAATGAGTGGACACTGAACAGAAAAAAGGAATGGAATGAACACATAAACAGAATGGAAGAGACCCGATTAGTCAGAATAGCGAGGGACAAATCACCAAAAGGTAGAAGTATCGGGCGACCACGCAAAAGATGGAGTGATAACCTCCAATAGAGGCATTAATCGACATTGAACAAGCATTTTGCTTATAAAAAAAGAAGAAGAGACATACATAATTATACATCGTTCAGAGAGGCTCCATCACAGCTACCAGGTACATTCCTGGTTATGTTGGAAATGACTTTGTTCTGATGCATGATAATGCCAAGCCTCAAAGTGCGAGAATCACTTAACAGTTTTTAAATGAAGTAAACATTCCAGTAATCGATTGGCCAGCATTGAGTCCAGACGCAAACCCAGTCGAACATGTTTGGGCTAAGGATACGAAGTAGTGTTCCTGCCTCTTTAATCTTAAATCAGTTACAAGAAGCCCTTTTAGCGGAATGGGAATTTATTCCTCAACGGGACATTTCTTATTTGGTTTTAGGCATGCCAAGGACAATTTAGGCAATATTTCGAGCACGTGGAGGAAACATACAGTATTAAAATCAGTTTGTCCGGGCACATGATTTAAGTTTTTATTAATTGAGCGTCATTTTGTTACATTTACTTACCTTTTTTTTTTTCTTAAATTGTTATCTACTGAAACAGTTCTTTGTTCTAAAGTTAATTTTAAACAGTTTGTTTCATGTGTGTTTACGTAATTCTAATAATAAAAGTTTAAAGAAAACTAAAAATTTTTATTTTTAGTTTTTATTTTAAAAATGCAAGTGCTCCGTTTTTTGTGCCGGTCAGTGTATTTTATAAAACGAAACTTTCTACTTATAATTTTATGATTTTCAATACTGAAAATGTTTCATGTGGACTGAGATTGAGGTTGGATGTGGGCCCTCATAAGTATCGTCTTGCTTTTTTCACCATCTTAGGAGCCTTCCCCAAACATTTAAGTGTTAAGACTATTCATTGTCATTTGCGGTGGTCAGAATAAAAATCAATTTGTTGCTGCCATGTTTCTGTATGCTGTTAAGGCTTTACCTATTGAAGTAATCGATTAAAAATTTTTTATCTCTGGTCAGTCAAATGGAATTTGATACAATGCATGCTAAAATAGAAACTGCAGCCAAAAATATCCCTGTATACTTGCCGCATAAATGCCAGAAGAGGCAATACTCGCTACTAGTATTTTCTTCAACTTTAAAAATTTCAATTTCGTCATTAATTTGTGTTAGTTTGTTTAGATCTATGGTATATTGTTAATTTCAATATATTTTTTAAAAAAAAGAAAAGTTTTTTATTTAAGATGTTCTAAAACAACCATAAAGCAGAAAAGAATAAAAAAATTTTTCATTTAAAAAAAAACTGATAGTTTTTGTAGTTAGCCACTTTTGGAACCAGGCCATTGATATGATTTCAACGAAATAAATATATTGTAAACAGTTTATTAGTATTCTTTTTTAAAAGGCAACAATGAAGTGTTTCACAGGGTTCCATAGACGTCACCCATCCAAATTATAACCGCGTTCTAAACTTCTGCTATGTGACAAGTACAAATAATATAAGATTACTTTTTAATCTTCTTTTCTTCATATATTTATTAATTCTATTCCCGACGAATACTAATCCAAATACACAAAAATTATAATAAATAATATTAACTTTCGTACCAAGTGATTTATTTGAATCATGTGAGTTTATTCTCCATTTGATTTTGTCATGGTTTACCGGTCCACTCTGTTGCCATAGGTCTAGTGATATCAGTTTTGTTTTAGACTCACCCTGAAAAATTCTTTCTGAGTCTCTTCACCATTCTGAGTGTATTCACTGGACTCCTTTTGGAGTGCCAGAATTCTTTGAGAGAACTTAATAGAGCCCTGATATTTCTGCAGTCGGTTATATCTCCTCGCAATGTCTTCTCCAGGATTCACTTTTTGTCCTAAACTGAGGTTCCTTCACCTCCTTTGGTACTCCCTACAGCTTGTCTGGGTTCTGATGGTATTTTGCATCCACAACTATAGTATCAATAATAAATTTCTAAAATAGCCTACGATTTGTTTATATATTGATATCTTTTGGGATTTAGAGTGATCTATTTAAGATAAAGAATATTGAGACAATAAATTGATTTTACAGATTTTATATTTCACAAATTAACGTGTTAACATGTAATTTATTTAATACAAAAACTCAAGTCGTGATTTTTTGTTTTAAAAAATGTAAATTATAGGTTAAATATAAAACATAACTCTACCTATTCAGTAGTAAGAAATTAAATCTACAATAGGATCTATTACTAAATAAAATTAGAAGTCTTCTGGCGTATGCCATGCAATTCTTTCTTCATAGAATTTAATGACCACCTGTGGGCATTTCACATTAGCTTGTTTTGCATACACTAAATCAGTATCATCTGTACCCTTCCATTTCATCAAGAACATCAATTGACCACTTGTGTCAGATGCTCCAATAATTTTATCAGCCTCTAAACCTTTGTCAAATGCTGACTTCTCTTTGTCCTTAGGTTTAGCACCCTTTTTTTCCTTATTGTCAACTTTTTTGCTCTTTTTCGGATCATCATCGTCAGAATCATCAGCTTTCTTCTTAGATTTCTCTTCATCTTTTTTTCCTCGGCTTTCGGTTTTCTTTTTTGGTGCATCATCTTCGTCAGAATCATCTGAAATGGCAGCTTTGCGAGATTTGGGACCACTTTTTCTTTTCTTTTTCTTTTTTTCATCGTCTGAATCAGAATCTTTTTTCTTTGACTTTTTTGACTTCTCATCTTCTGAATCAGAACCTTTATCTTTTTTCTTTGACTTTTTTCCTTTGTCATCATCAGAATCGGCATCTTTTGATTTCCTTTTGCTCTTTTTGTCATCATCTGAGTCATCTATTTTTGATTTTTTAGAACTAGGTTCACTCTCAGACTCTGGTGATGGAGAACGACCTTTCTTTTTCTGAAAAGAAATAAACCATTATTTTGTGTTTTATTTTAATAATTTCAGATTATAGTCATTAGTAGTAGTAAAAGATATATTTTGAGGTTCATAAAATGAGTATACATTATTTTAAAATTGCAAGGTTCTAAGGACAGATAAAATATAAGTTTTTACTTGTGTTTAAAACCACCTAGTAAAATTTTATTATTACACTGCATGTTACAAGAAAACAGGCCATCCAGAAAATTTAGGAAGTAGAGAAACCAACACACATTATTGAAATGGGCGATACTTGCCTTTTTTGACTCTATAATTCAATTATTGTTAACTAATGATACATCAAAATTTTGAATAAATTTATTACTTTTTCAAATGTTTTCTTGTTTTCCATTTGTGCCATGTTCCATTTTCCAATGATAATGTCAGGTTATATGCTACAAGAGTAACTGACTCAATACACAATAGATTTAATTTGATATAAATAGGAAAAAAGCTTCTTAAATTTTGTAGGTTACTCATTTTCTCTGACGTGCAGTGTATAAGATAGTTAGTTTTCACTGAGACAGAACAATAATTTTATTAACACAGAAACTTTTTTTGTTTAAATGTATTTCATTGACAATAAAATTAAACAACTTTTTTTTCAAAAACGCCATTCAAACAATATTTAGCATCTTATATTGCTCCAAATGGCTTCACTATAGGAAGTTAATGTTTTAAAAAACTACATATTCATATGTATGCACAGTATTATTGTTGTATGATATAACGACGTAATTAGTCTGCCATTTCAGTTCTCGTTATAGAGATTTGTATTTACTAAATTAATTTTACTAAACTAAAAATCAGGTTTTGTCAGAAAACAATTATTGTGTGTGGAGTTGGTAAAATGGTAGAGAGTTGGTCTATTGACCAGCAGATTAGGCTTAATAAGTACTTATAATTTCTGAAAAAATTGTGTCAGAATCAGCCTAAACTTAATTTTTGTTGGTATGATGTCTCCATTTATAAACTAGTTTTTTCGCACTTACAAAATGGCATAGGAAGCTTGCGGCAAAACTGCCTAACCAACAAAAACATGGCGGATGTAAACATGAGCAGTGACGCATCAGAGCATTTCGGATCTGATTTCAGCAATATAAATACAGATTATAGTCCCAGTTCTTTAAATATCGAGTCTTCAGGTAAGACAGTAACAATATTATGAATATTTAAATATAAAACAAGCAAGATAATCCTTAAATACCCATTTATAAACAAATGTGGCTAAGGCTGTTTTGCCGCAAACTTATTTGTAATATATTTTTTATTGTTCTAGACGAGAATAATGATGATTCGAGTGTAAAAAACTCAATAAATGGGTTGTCGAACACTAAGAATCAAGACAATAATGAACCAGAAGGCAAATTGCACAAACATTCCAGAAAGAGAGTAAGGAATCTTGAGAATCGTACAAGGTATAAAAGGAAGATAGCCAGGGAGAAAGGAGAAGAATATCGTCACGAAAAAAGGAAAACGCAAAAATGCTAAAGAACTTGTAGTTGAACCATGTTTGTGCAAAATGAACTATCATATGAAAATTTCTAATAAGCGAAAGCAAAACATCTTTAAAAATTACTATTCACTTAACTGGTCAATGAAAAATACTTTTATTCAAGGTCAAATAAAAGTAGAAGGCAAAACGAGAACTTATACCCAAAATCAAAATTCATGTAGGTCTAAAATTCATGTATATACTTTACCGGATGAAAATGGTTGTGACCAAGTGGTATGTAAGAACAAGACAGTTTCCATTATAGATGGAAAAATTTCATTACATCAAAACATGAACATGGGACACCTCTTCAAGATGCAAGGGGCAAACATCCACCCCATAATAAAACCAATATTAAAGAGCAGTATTTATGTGGTTTCATGAACTGTTCCCACCATTACTCCTGACGAGATAACATAAAATGGAAATATCTTTCGCTAACTTTGAACATGTGGATCATGTATTGAGAGTATGAAAAAAAAATGCATAGAAGACTTAAGAAACTCTCGCTGTGAAGTTTCTAAAAATTTTAAAACAATTTTAACATAAAGATACTTGTCAAAAGTGTGACAGTCTTAATACTGAAATAAAATCATCTGATACCTCACAACAGCATAAACAGTATGGAAAAGTTGAATTGGAATTACACCAAAGAAAGCAGAAGCAGTTAAAGAAAACAAAAAGCAAAAGAATCACAGCAAACAATATCAGTTTTAGTCTTTGATCTTCAGAAAATGCTTCCTATACCTGATTTAAGTACAGGTGTATTTTTTTATGAGACAACTGTGGACATATAATTTGGGCATCCATGATGAAGTATTCACAGAAACAGGTCACATGTATGTCTGGCCTGAAAATGTTGCATCCTAAGGAGCTCAAGAGCTTCATGCTTAATAAACCATCTTGAAGCGCACTTACCTGACCCAAACAAATTTTTTACCCAACCTGATTTTGTATAGCTATGATTGTGGTGGCCAGAATCATAATATAGAGGTGGCTTAAATGTTAAGCAATTACTTTCAAAAGTGTGAATTGTAAAAGTTATAGAACAAAGATTTTTGTATGTGGTTTATTTTTTTATTTAAAGTTAACTTTAACATGATTTATCACAAAAACTTTACTTTGTGGCTTAATCACCTTTGCCTCCAAGCCACTCAAAAACAGTTGACATAAGTTGACTACACATAATGAAACATTTTAAAGATGCAAACTATATTGTTTCTGAATACAAAATATGGTATTTCCGCTTCTTTAATCAATTATAAACAAAAATTAAAACCCATCTCCCAAGTAGATACATTATAGTGAAACTTTGTTATTCTGAAGCCATGCGTTAAATTGAACCCAAGTTGAAAACTGGAATTTAACACACTACCTAGTGAATTAAACAATGACTAATGTTAGAAGTTGGTGGTAAATGAAAACATCTATGTTATCACCACGGCTTACCTTTTTTTCTTTTTCTTTGGTAGATGAATTGTTTGACTCCACAGAAGAAGTAGAATTATCTCTTGTCCTTTTCTTTTCTTTCCCAGCAGCTTTTTTACTTTTACGATTCCTCTCAAACTCAGCAATAAGTTCAGGACAATCTAGATTGTCCTCAGGCTCCCAAGTGTTGTCATCTTCCGAATAACCTTTCCATTTAAGATAATACTCTACTTTTCCATCTACAACTCTCCTATCAATAATTTTTTCTACAGAGTACTCCTCTTCACTTTCACTCTCCTCTACCTTCTTTTTGCCCATTGTCTAAAAAATTATACATGTTTTGTAATAATTTTGTTAATGTTCTTAAAATATTGAAAAACTGGTTAAGTGCCAGGCGTTTTTTCCATAAACTCAAAATATTGTGTATAAGTATGTACCCAAATGAGTAGTTTTTAAAAATATCAACGAATTGCATTGGAGAACAAATATACTGATTGTTTTATTTAAATGGCTACAATAGAATCCTAATGATATTTTAAAGGGGGACTAATTGTAGAAAATGATATGGACATTAATTTTAATTTTGATAGTATTTGATTTCACTCAATTTTATTGTTAATATTTGATAATGCTTAGTTTGTGGAGTAGTAAACCATCAATATATAAAATTTTATTATATGTTATATATTATATGTTATATATTTTTTTGAAGCTGTGTTCTTATAACTAGTACTACAGAAAATTGTCATTTTGTCAATCTTCTGGCTAGGGTTTTATGTTAACACTAAAGCACAGAATAATAATCAGAATGCCCACTCTCGATGGAAAATTAAGTACGAGCATCTCCTTCGCGCAGACGTCCCGCCATGTTTTAGAGGGAACCAGTGTTGTTTATATGGTGTACATAGAAAAATTAACCCGGTTTAATTGACTTACAGGAATCATAGACATACTATACAATTAATATAATAACATAAATTTAATATAATTAAACATAAATATAAACAATTACATAACCTCACAAATCATATATGTGTTATGTGTTTCCTTCTAAAACATGGCGCGCATGCTGAAAAACTTCAAAGGCGGCATCTGAGAGTGGACATTCTGATTGTTTATTATTCTGTGACTAAAGTCTGAGGACCTGGCCTGGCTACTTACACAGCTGAGATCAACAGCTTCTTTATGTATCCTCTTTAAAATGTCTGTTTGGCAATCCAGTACCTACCCACTGAGCTATGATTTCCACAGTATTGATCTCAAAGATTGTTGTATTGAAAAATGTGAAAGTAATACATAAATTCATATTTGTTTCCTATTTATCCTAGATATCAAATAAAAAAAATTGATTTGATTAATGAAAGTGGAAAAAGGAATATAAGCTAAATGCCTTACATTTATTTGTTTGGGTATAATTCTAGTCATATGAGGAATGATACAGGAAGTTTAATACTACTCTTACTATGTGCTTTTCGGTATGTTTGCTTTTGATTGCATATGTTTCATTTGTAATGTAAATGTCAACACTGCCAAACACCAAAATTTCATTTTGTCAAACCCATTTGACCCTATCTTCACTGGGCCCAAATGTGAAAAATATCCCCATTCTATTATAAAGAACTTAGAAGTTAAAGAATCCATACTAAAAACATCCATAAAAATGTTTGTGATTGTAATACTTTTATAAAATAGAACTAATAATGTGGGTTCTAACAGACAAAGTAGATTGTAGGAGTCTACTTTTCTTCCTAGAACCCCATATAATAGAAGCACAGGTACAGTGGTGCTACATAGCTTCAAGGGCAGCTATGGAAACAAGCAATGATTTGTATGTGTGTCTATATATACTAATAGTATATTATTAATTTATTGCTTAGCTATATATAGATGGGTTATTGTTATAGAGTACACAAACTAAAAGGAGCAATTTATAATATAAAAGAAGTAACTTTTAAATTCTTTAAACTTTTTGCCCCGGGAAAAGTCACTATATACTACAATATTATGTCATTCAAATTTAAATTTCTATTCTAGAAATGTCTATAAATTACTGCAAGGCAGAATATATAAATAGTTATATACAATAAATACTGAACATACAACAGAATGCAGAACATATCGATACCTTAATTCTATAACTGGGTAACTCCATATTAACTTATTTTACAGAATTAAAAAAAATGATGCGCTAACCTTTTTGGGAATACTGAAACTCACACAACAGTTAAATAAAAATGTCAAATATTGTAATCATACATTATGTTATCAAATTAATAGTAATATTGACAATTATTACAAATAGTAGTTGCATTTTGTTAAAAAATAAAATTAGATTAAGTAACATATCTACTTTGGTTTTAAAGAGATATCTACTTTTTGGTTCTATATAAGAGATATCTATTATTGACACGTATAGTTATCCATGTATAGAACTAATAAGTCGATAAGAAAAATTAAATAAAAACAAACAAAGGAACATCAAAATCCTAAATAAAACAAGAAACCTAAAAATTGGACTTTGACAGAGACTAAAAAACTACCTATATCTATTCATTATCGTTACCACTTGCGTAATCTTCATCTATACAATTTCCATGTGGCAAATTTTCATAAAAAAATTTATAGTTAATGCTAATTGCTTTTGCGTTTGATGTAAATAATGACTTAAGTCATTGTACTTTGCATTGGAAATTGGTCTTCTCGAATGGTATAAATTTTCTACATTTGATTGAATATTATACCTGGTTTATTTGTTGCAGTCTAATACTTTAAAATTTTCGTTAAATTTTTCTTTACATAAAATTACACTGTGCCTAACTTTGTTAAATCGTAGCCAACTAATTTTTTGTGAGTTAATATTATTTCCATCATTTTTTTTTGCTTAATTAAAAGGGATTTTTGAGTTCTTTTCTCCTTTGATGATTTGTCAACCTCAAATTTTTTTCGCATTACTAATGTTTCTTTAGTAAACTGTTTACAGTTGAAGAAACTATTATGGTCCATGTGATGAACCACATACAGTTTATCACCTGTTCGTCTAGCATTTCTTGCTATAGTTTTGTAGTCTTCTGGCCATGAAATTTTTCTCACTCTTTTAATTTCGTGATTTATTACAGTGTGAATGGAATCACATTTCATTTCAATGTCCTACCACTAAGTATTTTATATCAATGATCTTAATGTGTTCAATATCTTGAACTGCTTTTAAACACATTGCTGCAATAAATCTATTAAGATTTTGACCTCCACACTGGTTGCCATAGAGAATTACCTGTTCGATGTCTTCTGGAAGCAGGGTAAAATATTTGTATAAACAACTGGCTACTTCACAACTTCCCCTAGCACCTTCAGCTTAATGTTATAAGAAACAGTCACCTTGTTTGTACACCACATTCTAGATGGTAAAGTTGTATGTGGTCAGTCTGCGTTTATAAAACTAAGCATTGTTTTTTATCGCTAGGGGCCAGCAATACCTGTTGTAAATCAAAATTACAATTTATAATATTGTTCAACGTTGTAGCCAGCTCTTTATCTTTTCTTTCTCATCCCTATTTTTGGCTTCAATGTGCACATCATATTTTTCTTTTAATTGTATGTTGTCTACATCCAATGCATTTGTAAAGTGTTTACATATGGAGCACTGGTCTTTTTTAGGTGTGTGAACTCCTAAATTATAGTTTTCTTTGAATATCTTTTGATACATGTATTCCTTAGCAGGAGTTTTGCGTAAATGATAGACGAAAAACCAAACACAAATGAGGTTATTAATGATACGTTGTTGCCAGGTTATATTTTAACAAAAAAATAGTATTATCATAAATTGTTCATTGACCTAGTCAGTTTTATACCGGTATTAAACACTAATGTGCATGGTTGCAATAATGCATTTTGTATATTGTCTAGTTCATTTTTTTTTTATTCTCACTAGTCACTTATCTAGTTTTAGTTCAACAAGCAGAAATATTTTTACACCAATATATTTTTCTAAAAGTAGATAACTAGAGTTATCTATAAATGTTTTCGTTTGGCGTTAGTACTGAATAGTAGGTATCTGTACATATCAAGATGTAGTTTCAAAGAATAGCTCATATAACAGATACCTACTTTCAAACAAAATGCCATACCGAATGAAGTAGGGGCAATATCAGATATCTACTTATAGCATTCGATAAATTATTATAAGGCCGATGTCTTAAAAATGGATATCTCAGAATCGCACAAAAGTCGAGTTACCTAGTTCTAGAATTAAGGTATCGATATACAACAAGAGCAGGAACCTACAAAAAAACAGGCATTCTTATTCAATAAGCATCAGTATAGTGTACATTTTAGAAACAGATGAAAACATGAATTGTTCTCTCTTTGAGTTCAGATTTATTTCGATTTCAATTAGCACTACGTTTTTAGTTACAAGAATATTTATAAAATGTGTATTCAACAGACTCGTGCAAAAGTTGTTGCCAAATTTGGGATAATTAAAATGGTATTACCAAAATTTAAAAGTAGTGAACAGGTATATTATTTACCTTAAAACAACTTTATGAATATTAAATTACTTACAAAGAATTTTATAAAATAGTAATATGCACTAAACACACAACAGACCTGGACCTGAGCAAATAGACGCCGAAACTTAACAAAATGGCGGTACAATAGGTTTGGTTTGGTTTGTCGGTTTCTAAAAGCGCCAAAATGATGCCAACCAACAAAAATGACAGCTGGTTATTCTCAGTTATCGTAGATCGTAAGCTTATGTTAATAAAAAATAAAATAGAGGGTTTACAAGTTTACACAAGCGCAAGAATATAAAAAAATGTATATAATTGCTAATAGCAGTAAATTGTCATTATATTAAATTCAAATTAAACTTTAAGGAAACTACATTATAATATGTATTGCAGAATATTATTATTTTATTAATGTACCCCTCCTTAGTTGAAAATAATATATTTATTTAAAATTTTTGTATATTCTAATTATATAATATTACGTTCAATTATATAAGTCACTCTGTTAAATTAAATATTCGAATTATTTGTAGTGACTTTTCTTTTAGTTCAATAATATTGCTGTACCTGTTCTGTCAGTTGTCATTGTCAGTTCTCTATATTCTAGATTTACTTAAATAACGTCATAGATTTCGCGAAGACGCTTTGGTTTTTTCAAGTTCTGAATGAGGTAAAAATAAAGGAAATTGGGATACTGGGTAATAAGAATTCTAATGGGAGCTCCAGTACAACAGGGAAAGCCAAATAGACGAGGTCCTGGAAATATGAGAGGTCGTGGTGGAAATGGAAAAATGCGAGGGCAAGGGCGTGTGTTTAATGGACAACCGCCATTTGGGAATCCAGGAATGATGCGAGGTGGTTTTAGAGGAAATATGAGGCCTCCACAAGGTCCTCCGATGCGCGGTGGAAGACCCCCTATGAGAGGACGTCCACTTCCCCCGCCGCCGCCAAGAATGATGGGACCCAGAGGGCCCATGATGCCTCCAATGAGACCACCTCCACCAGGTATGAGGCCTCCACCAGGTAAGTCAAAAATAGAAAAATGACATCTATTGTGGCTTTATGTTAATTTAATGAATGGATATAAAATTTAGGTGGTGTTTATATACAGGGTGTTGTTTATTATTGTAGAATAAAACCATAATATAACTATATTGTTCAGAATTCTGTAACTGATAACCGGGTTCATCAAATGATATTTTTTCTTTGCAAATTGACCAAAAAAACGAGTTACATCAATCTTCATTCAAAAATTTAACAAAAAGTAGAATGTGTTAACTGACACAAAGTATTCCACAAAATATTCCAAATATATAAATTAAGTATTCCCTTGAATATATTATTATATCCTCATGTATCTGATTTACCCCAGGTCTATGCTATATCTAAATTCTAAATTGCTCCGAAAGACCCTTGACTGTATTAAATGTCCCTGTTTATCCAAAAATAAATGATATACACACTGAATGGACAGTAGTTCTTCATAGGGTGTTCGTTTAATTGAGGTATCCATTGAAGGGAAGAAATAAATATTTATTTTAAATTTAAAATTTGTAAACTCACTCTAGTTGAGTTTTTAAATATGATTCATGGTACATTTGACATTTCATTAAAATTTTATTTCAGTCAAAACACAATTTAACAACTTATCAGAGTAATATTCCTGGTGTCAGCATTTCTTTCATCAGATTATTATTCCAGTTAAAACACAATTTAAGATTAAGATTATCAGAATAATTTTCCTGGTGTCAGCATTTATTTCATGGGATACAGGACATTAATAAAATTTATTGTTTTGCTTGCTTTGCTAAACAGTTAATCAAACTTGACAGTTTCTTAAGTGTTGATAATGTAAATAGTTGTATCAAATATCACTTGTGGAGTCTGTATTGATTTGAAATAATGATAGTATAAATGTAGTATTTATCCCACAATACATAAATAGGCATGAAAATTAGATTTTTTAAACAAATATGGTTTTAATTACAATTATTTATGCAAAACACATGTAATACTCATTTACACTGGCTTGGCTTCACACATAGGGGCCAATATTGGCCACAACAGCATTTGTCTAATGTGTGTACCAACAAAACTGTGTTGGAGCCAATGTTGTCACCTAGGTTTTTATGAATTGCTCCATCATTGGGAGTTTTCCCTGGACTGTAGGTTTTGCTTACACATTAAAGGGATTGGCACCAATATTGGTGTTGCCATGGATGTCAACCACACATTGGTGTTACAGCAGTGTTCCAATGGCATATAATTATGCTTCTTCTTCTTCTTCGTCTAGCCATTCACGTCCACATCTGAACATAAGCCTCTTCAAGTCTTCCTTTCCATAGCTATTTGCGCATAATTTAGTTGTTGTCACGTAACATTCAGATCCTGCATAAAATTAGGTACCTAATTTTGTACAATCTAGCAAATCAAAAGAAAACAAACCAATGACAAACCACAGTTTATAAAATGAGTCCTCATCCTCATTTTTCATTTACAACACTTTTGCTGCCAGTTTTCACAGCATTATTTTTAAAGAATATAAATGACTTTATTGAAGAAAATTTCCATTTCATGATGGCATTAAAAAACAAATTTACAACATGTAAAAATCGATCTTCAGCCACCAGAGTCACCTCCAGAGTTGTGTAGAATTAACAGTCCAATACATGTCAGTGGTCTAACAGAACTGGCTTTATACTCAAAAGGCTATTTCTTACATACATAAATAATAGAATTCTTAGAGACATGCCTTTGTTTTCTATAAAACACTATCACACTAACTATGGCAAATTCACTCCTATTAACAGTATTCAGATCCTGGGAAATGACTTTAGCCAATCGCATGATCTGATGGATATAAAATTTGTAAGATTTAAGCATTGTTTCACTGAGTATGTTAGGAATCAAAGATGAATGACATTTAACTTGGGAGTATTCATTTCATTTTATTAATTTCTCATCTTCAGAAAATTTAATGTAATTTACTTAATTTAATCATTTGTTTAACAATAATTATTTAATCATTATTTAATACTTAGTTTTAGTATGTACTTGTATTATCATTAACATATTTTATTTTTGTTAAATTTTCTAAAAATGGGGACATCCCGTAAATAAATAAAAAATACACATATCTGGTTTTTTCAGTACCTTTTAGGCACCAAAAAAAAATGTATTTTACAAAAGTATATGCTTTTAGTTTTGAAATATAGATAATTTTGTCCTAGTAGACCACCATCATAATGTATATTTAAAAAATAAAATGCAATAAGTCATTTGTTTGATTAATGTGTGCAACTTTTGAAAAACAAAGTTTGTTAAGTCCTAAAACTACGGTTTATTATAAATAATAATCATTTCCTTACGTTTAAATCATAAAAAGAACTATTACGGAATCATCCACCAGAACACCGCAATACCACAGTCTACCTTTTAACACTGTCGGCATAATACTGCGATACATATTTTTAAAGCAGCGATATGGTTATGTAACTTTAAAAATATGTTCTTTCATATATCAGCTGTCGATTAAAATCACATTTGATATAGAATATAGCCAAAATAGAAGGTTAAAAAATTTGGTAATAGAGTTAATAAAAGAATAAATGGGATTTAGAGCCTGGACGTCAGGTTTACACTTATATACTCAGTCTGCAGTTGCCAAATATGGCATCTCTAAAGATCTAGTAACTTTAAGTAACACTGTAGATAACATGACATAAAATTCGCCTTTTTGTAGCAGAATATAATCACATGCACTTATTGTCACAGCAGTTGCAGCTGCTGAGATTTCCGTATCAGACATGTTGATATTGGCTCTAGAGGGAACATACTGATATCGCCTCAATACTTAACCCAATGTGTGGGTCGCCAAACAGTTGACCCAACATTGGCTCCAACGTTGGATCCCATGTGTCAAGCCGGCCTTAGAATGTGTATTTTGTTTATAAATATTTTTATAGGCAGATAAATTTATAATTATATCATCCAGAGATCTATAAGACCCACGGCAAACAGCTGAGTCATCCTGATCTTAAAGGATATTATTATTTTTTAAATATGTCAATGAGAAAACAATTATTTTCATAATTAATGATTGATGATTGTTTGAACTACCTGATTAAGGAAATATTTAGAAAAAAATTACATTAATTCTCTTTGAATTTTTCCAGTATAGGATAGTGTCTAGTGATGAAGAATATAAATTTCTCGATTTCTCTGTCCCTCTCTCTATCTGTATCTAGCCACCATCCTATACTGGTAAAATTCAAAGTAAATTAGATAACTTTTATAGTGTTCTGATTTTTTATGTGTTTTCTAATATAGTTAATATTTTTATATATCAAATATTTTACTGTGAGACTCCCTTCAGGTATGAGACCACCTCCACCAATGATGATGATGGGTCCTATGCCCCCACCAATGAGAGGTGGCATGTTTAGAGGAGGAATGAGAGGCAAGGGCCGCTTTCCACCAGGACCACCAATGCCTAACAACAATTTCAGAGGTATCAACAAAAAAAGCAAAATCATCAGAAAAGGTAAAACTATTCCTGTTGATGTAGATCTAACCAAATCGTTTGTGACAGAAGCTATTAAAGCTGAATTTGAAAAGAAAGAAGAATTCTTCTATAAAGCCAAGACTTCTCAGAAGAAGGAAGATTGGATAAAATACAAGGAGCAACGAGATAAATGTGCAGAAGTTTATGAGGAAGCCGAAAAGGGATCTGCAGGGCATCAGGAGGTGCGTATCCCGCAGCTATTGCCTGAAACTAATTTCACACGAGTTACGGCACCTATTGATTATACAGCGGACATCCACTTATAGGTACTTTACATTGAATCATACTATTCTCTCTACCCCTACTGCAAAGTGGGTAAAGTATTAATAACGAATTATTTATTAAGCAATTATCCAAAGCAGAGGTGATACATATTTTTTTACATCAGAATTCTGTCATTGTAAGGAATTTGTTTTCTATATTTTACCTTAAAATATTTATAATAGTGAATAGAGTAAAATTTGTTTGAGTGATACTTCTAATATTAATAAAAATCAATAATTGTTTTTGATAATTGCTAACTCAACTTCCAAAGAAAAATAAACTATTGTTGATCTTTAAGTATTTCTTTGGCAGTTCTCCACCTTGTTTCATTTTCAATTCGGATCAAGATTGATCTATTAAATTTTTAAATGATGTTACCTGAGTGTTAAGCGATTGTTTTTAGATTAAATTTTATCAAAAAAATTATTTCACTTTACATTTACAAAATGAATTTTGCTATTTTAAAAAGGGAGCTATCCTTTTGATTTGCTTACAATAATTTTTTTATTGTTTTCTTTCCACATACTTTCTTAATTTTCTTTTTAATTTCATTATCCTAAGATAAATGAGTTTAGATGGCTTTATTTAATATATCCACGATAATTATTCAGTTCTTAAACATATTTTTTTATAATTTTATGTCTTAAAAGAATATTGTGTTGTGTCTTTATAAAATGTACATTACATAGTTGTTAATTTGAGGCTAAAAATAAAGTTGTAAGCTATTTTTGTAATTTATAGTATTCAGAAACATAGCAATATAACTCTGAAACTATTTTCTTGTGGAATGTCTTTTTCACTGAATATTTTAATCATTGCTATAAACAATGATGAATTTAAATTTTTTGCATCTCTTAATATTTTACTCCCACAATGAATGGTAACTGTTGTTACAATTCATCATAGTTTATTTTCATATTTATAAAATATTCAATGATTAACAATGCTTAATTAAAGAGCAAATCTCAAATTAACACAAGGAAATTTTAATTCAAAATTACCTGAAAATACTGATATAAGATCCTCAAGCAATATCTTTGTATTCCGAAGAGCAATCAAGAAGTTTTTATTATCTAAATGTTACTATAGTATAGAGGAATTTTTTGAGGACAGTTGGGCTAATTGATATATATTTTTTAATTATGGAAATTTTATAATTAGTATTTTGATATATCTTGTACCTTGTTTGTACTATACCATGTTGTGTTTTATAAATGTAATCTCATTTTAAAAACAATAAACTCTCTCTCTCTCTCTCTCTCTCTCTCTCTCTCTCTCTCTCTCTCTCTCTCTCTCTCTCTAACAGCTGCAGTAGATGCACCTTCCAGCAGGTAATGGCATTTCTTGATTTTCTGGTACATCACTTCCAGTTTCTTCCATAAATCTCAGCTTCAGCGTCCTCGGAAGATTGCTAAGAGCTGCTCTCCTTTTCAAATGTAGCCATATATTTTGGTCTCCCTTGTATGCTTTATATATCACCTGAGTACTGATTCCTGCAACATTTAATAATGTGTAGAATATCACCATGGGCCATCTTCTGCTATTCTGGGAGCAGTTGTAGCTCACAACTAATCTACAAATTCGACACCCACTTTTATATTATTATAAGTAGTGACTATTACTGGTTTAGATTTATCACATTTAAAAAACGATTGTGATATCCTCTTTAAAGCAAACATTCTTGTATAGATTGGATGTTTAGTGAGGTTTAAAAACTCGACTGGCAATTCTGTTTCATTTTTTCTTAGCATTCCAATAATTGTAACTATTTTATTTTAACGCCAGACTCAGAAATGTGTTTGCACAATCTTAAAACCACATCACTAGGTTTGTTAGAAAATTTATATGGGCCATCGGGTTGGATGTACTGACGGAACGAACATTTCCCTCTGTAAGCAGGGAGCATTTCATCAATGGTAACAAATGGTGAATGATTATAACCATTTTGACATTGTTTTACGAACTGGTCAAATACCACACGAGTGGGAGTTAGCTGATCAATTTGATCGCCCTGCAAGTGTTTTCTTACCATCAAACCTAATGCAACGGAGAAGAAATCGGAACCGTTGTAGAGTCATTGTAAGATAAAAAATTTCTAGATCATAACCATCTCTCCTACAGACATCTGCACTGGCACGATTACAGTGACCTAGCCTAGATAAATACAAAAGTCTTATAAAAGCACGGATTTCCGTTTTATCAGTGAGATTAGTATTTGGTTCTCGCAAATAGTTTTCCTGAATGGAGTCTACATATTTGTTTTCCACAATGATACCAATTATCGTGCCATCCAAGAAATAATTCCAAATCCCGACGGCGTCCTTTAAATTTTTAGTACTTTTTGTAGGCCTTGGTAAGTGAATTATTACGTTATCCTATCTTGTTCTAGGGGTTCTTGGCTTTGGAGGATGTTTCTTCCAGTGAGTTGTATGGTTCTTGCCTAAAACAATAAAAATTTAACATGATTTGCTCATACATATTATAGTTTTTTAATATAACTAATATTTTTTTTCTAGTTTTTTAATATAGAAAATATGGGCAGGCTGACAAATTGCAACTGTTTTATCCGCATCTGATATCGCGTGTTCTGATTCACTGTCGTGATTTCCTCAATGTCCTGCTGCTCTTCCTCTGATTCATCTTCCCATGTGTCACTCATTCAATATCATATATATCAATATCACTATTATCTAGTCCTATGTCTTTTAAAAGTTTCTGCAAGTAATCTTGTCTGTGCTCATAGTCCCCCATTGCTAAAATCTAACAATCTTTTAATTAGAATTAGAGAAATGTATAAATATCTAAGAGCTTACCTCAGATTATTTTTGTAAGGATATTAGTGACGCCGGTCTGAGACACCTGAAAGCTTGTTTACTATACCACACTATTACACTGTAATGGTCACATGACGACTAACTTCACAATGGTACATGAAGGTACTGAAATGTTTGATTCCTTACAACAACCTGTTACCAACATAAAAAAAACAGTCTACCTGGTTTAACATTCTCTAACATTTACCAAAAATAACTCGTCTAACATTTACCAAAGGCACAGATAGTTTGTTTATGAAAAGTAAATTATAATTTAAACAATGTTCTTTTAAGATATTGTGTAGTTTCTGTTAATTGCTGCTTTTAAAAATAGTGACATTCATTTCGAGTATGATAAGTGAATAGAAAACTGCTTTGAAGTATTTACAAATGTTTTATGGAATGTCAGCAGTAGCTGAACGATCTAAATTAATTGGATATCTTTACAGGACAGTAGCAAAAAGTCAGCTGAAACAGAGATGAACAAAAATTCTGAAAGTCAGCCCATTGGGCAACAATAGTCAAGTCTCAGTTCAGTAGCTGAGACTTCAGTTAAGAAGTCACTCCTGCTTAAGTTGGGCCCCACATTTAACGTTATTTGAAAATACATTTTGGCCTCTTAATTTAAAATAAATTCAATGTTATTTTAACTTGGTGTAATTGTAAGTTATGAAATTTTGTTCTCGTATGTCTGTGGATCCATGATTGTATAGTGATAGAGACATTATTTATTATGAATTACCTACATGTTTGCTTGTTGCAAGCAAAAATTAACTTATAAATAGTATTTTTTATTTTCGTTCTGGGTTGCAATATTTATTTATGTTCTGAACTCGGTATCTTCATCATATGAAGATATATCTGTGTAACAAAATAGTATTTAATAAAAAAGATTCTTAAAATCCATCATTGAGTTTTTGATTCTTAAAAATATTTCTATTTCTTAAAAATACTTTCAGTAAGTAGTATTATTTTTTCCTGGGCTAGTTAATGTTAAGAATTTAATATTAGTGTAAATATGTTAGAAAGATTCAGCTGAACTCAAATTAAGCTTTTCTAAAATGACAGTGATCATTTTTAAGAACATAGATTTATTCTTATTCAGTTGAATACTTTTATAAATTAATTTAATCAGTTTAAATCCACTAAATTGTAGATTAATATGTCTTTTTATCTAAAGTAAATTTGTGTTTCAATTAAAAATATTTATTGTTATTCTTCTTAGTACTAAGAACTTTGAAAGCATATTTTATTTATTAGGTTAATAATTACATTTTTATTTCATTTTACAAAATGTTTTTTTAACATTTTTTGTTGCTTTCAAATTTCAATATATAAAATGTTTAATTCATGACATTTTGTACTTCCAAACAAATATGTTGACACTGGCTTAAAATTTTTACTACAATTAATATCATTGACAAAATGTTATTACACTAATTTTTTTAGCTTCATATTCAATGAGTTTTTTAACCTATTGATTTTCTATCAATGTTTTCCCTCTTCCTGGAAGCAAACTCCAAAAAAGTTAATTTAACCCTTTAATCGGTAAGATAGAAATAGCAGGTTTTAAGTTTCACGAATTTTGGTTTCAGAGTAATTTGGTTGTGGGAAAAACAAACATGAAAATTTATGAAAACACCATCATTTATTGGTTGTACAAAAAATTTTTATTGAAAAAAAATTACATAAATAAAAGGTATCAGGCTTTGGTGTGATAAACATGTTTCAACACCTCGTGGACCTCGTAAATACGCATGCCCGAAAAAATAAATGAACCCTAAAAACATTTACCATTTTAATTTCATAGGAAATTGATAGGGTAGGATTTGCATGTGCTAATGATGTCGTTTATTTCCAATAAACATGACATATTATGTTTCTCTAATCTTAAACATTCCAGTTAGTCATCGCATTTTTGTTTATCTCACATTGAAAGATGTAATAAAAATTTACGACTTCCCGTCTTCACTGTCAATAAGAATTGCTGTGTAAAAATGTAAAATATTTACATTGCACTAATTTGTCTTATAAATAAACGTTTTAAAAACTGAAAAAAATCGAGAGGACAATTAAATAAATAATAAATCATTGTATGATAGAAA